TTTGGTATTTACTCGATCCTCCCACAGAGTTGCGCTGTTACACAAGGTCAGTTTAATGCCTGAGTGCGTACACTTGGGATAGGAACAAAAATTCCCTGAGCCCCCACAATTGTCGGTTGCTCTGGAGTAGGTGTGAGCACCAATCCCTCTTTCTAGTGCAATAAGAGGGTGTGGCCTCAGGCAGCTGTTCCTCAGTGTTGGGAACTTCTCAGTTGCGACTCTGTCATTCAACAGAGCCACCCTTGAGCATATGCTAAGACGAGTTGGGACACAAGGTCTTTTTAAGGTGGGAGACCCGAGCATGTACCCCAAGGCTGAGAAAAAAAAAAAATTCCCCACAGCCCCCTGCAACGGTTGGTTGCACTGGCCTTGGGGCAAGCACCAATCCCTCTCTCTGGTGCAATGAGAGGTCACAGCCTTGGGCAGCTGTTCCACGGAGCTGAGCACCTCTTAGTATAATTTTTCTCAGTTACGACTCAGTCTTTTTACAGAGTCGCCCCGAGTGCATTCTGCCCAAAGACACAACCGAAAGATTATAAATAAACATGTTAGAAACTACTATATTTAATAGTCCCCCCCCACGAGGAATGTATGTGGCACAAGGCCAAACATAAGCGGGTTCGGGATCTGTCTACCTCCCTGGACGAAACTGCCCTTCGGCAAAGCTTCGTCCGCGTTCCTCTCTGCCAAAACAGAGAGTTCGACAGAAACTACTAAAATCTCAATGTCTGTATTATATATCATCTACTTCTAGGCAATATTACACTTCAGGTTTACCTAATTTCATATTGAGTTTAAAAAAGTTAATTTCATTAATTAATTGTCCTTCATTACTGTTCTTTCATTCAAAGTGTTGGGGACGTGCAGAGTCGTTAATTATTTAAGAAAGAATCAGAAGGAATTTTCAGTTGGTTGCGTGTCATCCCAAACAAATAAATAAATGAAATTCAAAATGCAATTAAAAACGAGACATATGCAATTTAGAAATCAATACAACATTTATATACAATTTAACAATATACAGATTGATAATCAGTGTGTCGTGGACGAAATGTGTATGTAATTGTTAGATTTGTGAATGTCTCTTTGTTGATATTGTTCGTTGATTCGCTGTCTTTTTGCTTGTGTCAATAATTGTAATTGTGAATTATAAGTGTCTTTTGAATTTGGTTTTTTAGAGTGATCTACCCTTAAATGTAGTTGGTGTTTTCGTAATGTTGTATGTTCGTTGATGTTTACTTATTTTAAAGTAGTGAAAGTTAAGGATATTGGACGAGTCCACAAAGGATTGTTTTGATTTTCATATAAAAAATAGTTCTTTTTAGGAATATCGTCTTATATAGTGCAGAAAAGTGTTTTGCATTTTGCTTGGCCTTCAAAAAGTTGGCATCTGTTTGTAAAACTTTCCTTAACTATAACAAACCAATTTGTGAATGAAATTTTTTGTTTCAAATTTTTGTTTCAAAGATTTCAAGTCATGAATATTTCTTACTTTGTGAGCAGGATTTTTTTCCATTTGTTAGATACTTGTTTGTGTGTGTGTGAAACAAGTGTGTGTGATAGACACGTATGTGTATATGCATGCATGAGAGAATTCAATGGTCAACAGAGGACCAAAGAAGTGAATGCGTCTTAGTGGCAGTGTTCTTTATTGACTACATTTGGAAACATGAGTTTGTAGATTCGTCCTTTTTTCCTTACCTTTCAACCCTGGCAACAGAACAGTCTATATTTTACGCCTACCTACGGAAAACTTCAACCAATTAAAACTGCACTAAGCGAAACAACCAATCTCATTGGTTCATCACTGAAAGTTCATGTGCAGAACGAAATTGCGCCAAAACTCAAGTGAGCCACCTTCGGACTTTCAAGCCTTATAAAAATAAATGCTGATCGCCCCAGGCAGTCAGTAACAAACACCCACAGAGAACTTGCCAAAATACTCCACGTCACTCGAAATCACGATTTAACCGCGCAAAGATACATCATCGCTGACTCATTCCCGATCGAAAACTTAATCAACTCTGTGGATATCAATTCTCAACATTGCTTATCTAAAGTGAATTATATTCGCTACCTATTAAGTAAACATCAACGTGCGAACGACCTTAAAAAAACATTACATTACAGTTAAAGGTAGATCACTCTTAAAAACTCCTTCTAAAAGAGACACTTAATATCGACAATTATTAATATTGTTGGGGACGTGCAGAGTTGTTAATTATTTAAGAAAGAATCAGAAGGAATTTTCAGTTGGTTGTGTGTCTTACTGCATCCCAAACAAATAAATAAATGCAATTCAAAATGCAATTAAAAATGAGACATATGCAATTTAGAAATCAATGCAACATTTATATACAATTTAACAATATACAGATTGGATAATCAGTGTCATCCCAAACAAATAAATAAATGAAATTCAAAATGCAATTAAAAACGAGACATATGCAATTTAGAAATCAATACAACATTTATATACAATTTAACAATATACAGATTGGATAATCAGTGTGTGTCGTGTGGACGAAATGTGTGTGTAATTGTTAGATTTGTGTCTTTTGAAAAGAGTTTTTTAGAGTGATCTACCCTTAAACGTAGTTGATGTTTTTTACTTATTTTAAAGTAGTGAATTTAGTTCACTGTACATAACCAAAGTTGAGAAAAGTGTTCACAGAGTTGATTAATGAATGATCGAATATGAGTCAGCGATGTATCTTCGTGCATGGCAAAATTGTGATTCGTAGTGGCGTGGAGTATATTGGAAAGTACTCTGCAAATTCATACTGACTGTCTGGGGCTGTCTACGCTTATTTTTATATCGTTTGAATTTCCAAAAGTGGCTCACTTGATTTTGACGCAATTTCTGTTTTGCACGTGAACTTCAAGTGATTGACCAATGGGGTTGTTTGCTTCGTTTCTTGCCGTTTTTATTAGTTGAAGTTTTTTAGGTACGTAGGCGTACAATGTGGACTGTGCTTTTGTTAGGGTTGGAAAGGTAAGGATATTGGACGAGTCCACAATATCAACACAAACTTAAAAAGACTGTAAATGAATGAACAATTACAAAGAGAGACATTCTGAAATCAAAAAACCTCATACACATTTCGCCAATATAACATATATCAATTATCCTGTTTGTATATTGCTTTGAATTGTATATAAATGTTATATTAATTTCTAATTGAATATGTCTCGTTCTTAATCGTATTTTAAATTTCGTTTATTTATTTGTTGTGGATGCAGAAAGTCACGCAACCTACACAAATTCCTTCTGATTCTTTCAAGCATAATTAATAAATTCTGCACGTCCCCAACAAGTTAAAAAGAGGTAAAAGAAGGAAAAGAGAGAATATATTGCCTTTTCATAGGCTTAAAAGAGCGTCCTCTAGCAGGCATTTTTGCAAAGCCAAGTGTGATAACCCACAAATCTCTCTTTTCTTTTTTTTTTTTTAACCTGTTATTTTATGGTCCTTTCTCCTCAATGACGTTTTCTCAGTTTTTTTTTTCACTCCTTGTAACAGTTTGCATTTTAATGGCTTTATCGCCTGGCTTGGAGTGAAACATTTTTTTTTTTTAGATACAAGGTCTACTATTTAACCTGTTGTGGAGGAGTAGGTTATTAGGAAAAATATGCATATATCAGAAGGATATTTTAAGTTTGGCTGCGTGAACAAAATTAACATCTCCATAAACATTAACTTTTGGTATGGCACAAGGCTATCAAATCCAAAATATAAAACAACATGTTTTCTAGAAATAATAAAACGTTTTATATCAGCAATATATAAAATGGAAGAATGTGAGTTCAATACCTAGTTAAGGCAGTGGAGAACTTTGATAGGGGAATTAACAGGAGATAACTGATAACTGACATCCATTAGACATGGCATGTGGAACTAGAACAGTCTACCCCAGTGAGCGAAATAAAGGGTTCAGTTCAACATTCCAACCACCTGAAGAAGGCCGGAGTGTACAACGGTCGAAACATTGTGATAAACATGGCAACAATAATGAAGAGAATAGTCCGAATAATGTAAATATGTACATAATACCTCATCTCAGAAATGTAGACAGATTTCCATTTTTGCTCGGATCTTTTCTGATAATTCACCCCAAAATATAAATTCATCCCAAACTAAAAATAATTTATATTTACTAAAATTCACACCAGGTTCTTCCAGAGCAAGGCCCTTCCATTGCTCTTTGGTTGGGTTGACCTTTGCAACCGCCCCAAATATAGGAGAGTCTTGTGCGCTATTTCTTAAGTGTGTCTGTGTTTGTGCTCATCCTGGTAAACAAACCAAAAACAGGTTTTTTCTTTCTTTTATTTTTTTAAATTGTAAAAAAATTCCTTGTAAGTACCTTGAATATCACCTGCAAGTGTGAAATGTGAATAACTCCCTGATTTTTGGTAATTTTTAATTTTGAGTGTTGGTGTTGTTGCAAAGCGAGCTAAAAACAAATTTTGATTTAAAATTTTTAATTATATAAGACTAGTGGCAAAAATTTAATAAAGAAAAAAATTGATTTAAAATTTATAATTTCAAAAGAGTGCCAAATATTTGATAAAAAAAATCAAACAAAAAATTCATAATTTTGCGGGGTGAATTAATATTTGTGATAAGTAACTTTACATTATTTCGAGTGAATTAGCATAAAAAATCTATTTGCTCGAAAAACAAAGTGTAAAAACATATTTTGTTATTTTTGGCTAACCATACTTTTTAAGCTCTACCGCCATACGCAGGTAAATTTAATCAGATTTTTGGAAGATATTATTAAGGAAAAATAAGTTATAGCTTGACAGGTTAAAAAAAACAAAAACAGGATAAAGTCTTTTATTTTTTTATTGTATTTTTAACGTAATAATGCTGTCTCCTTCCACCAGAAAATATATTCTGGCCACTTTTCATTCTCCATAGTCAGCAGAGAATACGTATCAGCAGCAACCGGAAGTATTTCCGTTTCATTCCCGACAGGCAACATTAGAAACCGGAAGTATGGTGTTGAAAATGGCCGATCAGGTAAGTTTCTTCGGCGAATTATTTTTTGTAATTTCTACGTTAGTTTAGATATTCTATACATGAGATATATGCGAAATGCGGCCTGGTGGAGACCGGAGTGGGATGAGTGCAGAGGGAGAGATCCTGTAGCGCCAGAATGTTTATTTTTGTCGCTAGAACAGCTGGGAAAAGCCCGGCATGATGAAGAAAATAACGTTTTCTGCTTTTCCTTATGTTGATAAATATGCAAGTCATCGAACGTTATTTATTATTTTTAAGCATTTAAGACAAAATTATTCACAAATAAAAAGATCAATTCACATCAGGAATTTATTCATTAATAAAGTATTTTTTTATTCTGGAATTGGAATTCTGGTTAATTCATATTTTAATAATAATATCTTTAATAAAGATGGTTAAAGAGAACACAAGAAACAAGTAACTTAAAAATCAAGAAAGAAAGCAAAAGTTTTAAAGATATTGTAGAATTTTCATCTTTTAAGAAATATAATAATATTTATCAGCAGAAGGTAAATATATCATTGATTTTAAATCTCGCTTGAAATAGACAAAATAAAAAAAATGTTTCATTTATTATTGTTTACATTTTACAAGAGAAGATCTCCCCTCAAAAAATGGTAGGAATATTTCCAAATAATTTTGGAATTGCATTGTTCTTCTAATGTAAAATATTCAAAACTTTTTGTTGCTATTCATTTTTTTTTATGTGGAAGAGTATATATAGAATATAAAAAGTTCCTTATTCGTCGTTTCATAATTACCAAAATTCTTTACCAGAAGAATTCACCCATCTCAGCTGTTTGAGGTTTCCTATAGTCCCACTGAACTTAAAGTCAATACATGTTTTCTATTGTAAAAATTTTCTATCCCAAGTAAAAATCATCACAAAAATGGCAAAAGTTTTTTGTCACAGCTTATTTTCTCTCAAAAGATGGATTTTTATACTTTTATAGGGGTAAAAATATTGAAAAATGACTTTTATCATCACCTAAACAAATATCAACGAAACTAGGTATTTTCAGAAAGCAAAGGATATTCTTTCATTTAAAAGTAAAATTGGCTGGTGTAAATGACTCAAAAAATTTTTCAGGGGGTAAAATGTGAAAAAATAGTGAAAATTTTGCATTTTTTCTAGTTCTAAACAAAAATTTTCCTGATTAATGGGAAATTAACTTTTTTTTTTTTTTTTTTTTTTTTTCAATCAGAAAGCCTTAATCATAATCAAATTATTACAGGCATAAAATTGAGAATTTTGAAAGAAATCAACATTCCTTGGGGGTCAAAATGCGACAAAGTCCATTGGTAATTTTCAATTATATGACTGCCAGGGGTTAAAAAAAAATTGACACCTGTCCATGGAAATCTTTAGTAAAAAGTGAAAGATTTATCTGCAATTCCTGACCACCAGAAACCAAAAGTTTTTTTTTTTTTTTTTCCAAAAAATAGCAGCGATAAGGAAAATTAAACCAAATTGACTTTGACATCTCTGGGTCAGAGGTCAGCTAGCCAGCAATAAACGTTTAGAACAAGTAATAAAACCCACCATTCCCAGATGAGAGCAAAGAGTGAAAAAAAAGTGTCAACATTAGCAGGGCTTGATATAACCTATGTTTGAACAATGGCTTGATATGTTTTGTTTTTAACACCCCATGACTCTGGTGATGACAACCACACTTAGCAGACGACATTATTTTTTTTGCTGCATATCTTTCATATTTCCCATCGCTGGGCCATTTAGCCGTTCATTTTATTCAATGATGTTTACACCAAATTAAGGAGAAACGGATGCAGTTTGAATGATATTATTTTGAATATTTTTTTTTATAAAAAAACAGTGATTTTTCTTAGAAAAATGCTGAGCAGACCTTAGTTACAGTTTTTGGGAGAGTGTGTTATCTAGCTTGATCAACAATCTGAACAACACCAGCACACTCAAACTTTTAGTCACGATGACTTGTGATTTTGTGCTAGCATAGCTATTGATGATCTCCAAGTGTTCTGTCTACCCAATTTCACTCACAGGTCTTGGGTCAATTTGTGGTATGGTTTTCAGGCTCTTTCCAAAGGTGCTGCACGCTGGGATCATCCCCCTCCAGATTGATAGCGTCAGAACGTCTCCTTCCTGACAACAACCGTGTTGAGATTTGAACCTGGGTCTCATGGTCGGAAAGCAGATGTTCTAACCATTCAGCCACATGCCCATAAAAATCTACACAAGTGGAAATGACAAGGTTTTTTTTTTCCTCAATGTAATGCATTAACCATCACCTCACTGTGCTCACATACACTGTTTCGTTTTTGTTAATTTTCACCAAACAGCAATGGATATCAGTGGTTACAAACATGAAGATATTAGATAGGACATTTCTGCTTTGTTTGAACTTTCATGTCAGAAGCCATTTTACTAGACTGTAGCTTAACTGCTATGTGTAAGAAGGCAAAAAATCTAATACAATTAGAACTAATGCAATGCAATATTTATCATTTACCAATTTATAAAGAAATAAATATGAAAACAATTTTTAATTCGTAAATTTATAAACATTTACTCAATTATTAAAATATGTGAAACAACTCTAAGGAAATCCTTATTATTTACTATTCTATAAAGTTTGAATCAATTGGCAATTAGTCGATATTTTACCAACCATTCCAATAAATAATCTAATAAATAGTGTTTATTATTTTTGTCATCAATTCTGAAGAGCAAAAAAAAAAAAAATATGTATAAATTTACTTTCATCCTATGTTTAGGTTATGTTACAGTTCATGTTATGTTACATCTTTTTTTTAAAAACAAACATTGCTGAGAAGTGAAAGTAATTAAAATAATTGTGGTGTTAAGGGAAAAACTGTCCTTTTGACATTTTTTTTTTTTTTTTTTTTTTGCGAATGAAGGTCCATGTTTTCCAAAACTGTTATGATAGTTTTAACCAACTACCATATCACTGACATTGTTAAAAATGGGAGCAAGTATTTTTGGAGCACCTTTTCAGATAAAAAGTAAACATAACCTGACTTATGCACAGTATTAATGGTTGTAAGTTCCTCATTAGGCCAAGACCATCAACAAAATTCCCTGATTCCTCTCCTCCATATAACCTGTACCAATAATTTGGCAAGGATTATTTTGTAAATAATAATAATAATAAAATGATTATTGATTTAATAAAAATAATTTTGATTTGTAATCAAAATTTAATATTTTATAATCCCATATAATTCTGGGCTCTTCAAGGAGCTAGGGTGTCAATCAAGTGTTTAGATGTTAGTCTATTACATGTAGCCGAACTATTCCGGTATAAGGTGCAAGGATGCTTTTTAGGGAATGTGTTTTGAAGAAAACATTGCCAAGGAAGTCAAAAATTTATACAGTAATACTAGTGTTAAGGGAATAACTGTTCTTTTGAAATCATTTTATTTTTCTATTTTTGGAGGGCATGATGATTAAACATTGCTGGTAACTCATACCCGAAATTTAGACAAAAAAATTTTGAATCATTTTTTTTTTTTTAATTTTGTGTAATATAATTTAATTGTATTCCAATTTTTCTTACAGCAACAAATGGATATTGATGAAGTGACTGCTAACCAGGATGGTATTAAATCTTATTACATAAGTAAAACTGAAGAATATCAGGTAAGTGTTTTGTTTTTATTATATATATATATATGATAAAGTGGAAAGTTTTTTTTTGTGATGTGTTTCATCTGTTAGGATTTCATTTGACTTGGCTTTGATAACATTGTCCCCTCTACACATACTCATGAAATGAGAGACACAGGTAGCTTCAAAATCTTTTGAAAGAATATTTTTTGAAGGATTCTGTTTTTTTTTTTTGTTTCAATCTAATTGTATTCTTTTTCTTTGTCTTTCCACCATCTTTGTTACTGGTCATCCCACACTATGGCAGTATAAAATCTAGCAAGAATGGTGATATATTGTAAGAGCCTGGACGCAAATTATATTGTGTGGGATAATTAGGAACAAAGGTAGTGGAAAGAAAAAGAATACAGATGATTATGGTTCGACTGAAAAAAGAAAAAATTGTTCAAAAAATATTCTTTCAAATGATTTCAAAACTAAACACATCACAAAAAACCCTTTCCAGTTTGTCCTATTTTTCTAAATACTGTTGATATACAAAATTATATATATATACACACACACACGTGAAATTGTCCAAATTGTGTAACAGCATAATTATCCATCCCACAAAATGTTTAATATCTAAAAAAAAAAAAAAAAACCCACTAAATTAAGTGAGTTTCTTTTACCAGGTTTTCAGATGAGATGTTCAGCCATCTTGACACCATTTGTTGTAAGGATCATTGAAAAACCCTTTGAGTTATTCAGTGAGAAAGAGGACAGGTTAAAATCGTTTTGTGTCAGACCCATTGTCTTCCCAACTGAGCAATGATGAGAGGGAAAAGTTTTCAGACCTTCACTAATGGTACCAACATTCAGACTCTGGCTTCCATTTCCATTTTTAAACTTCATTCGCCATTCTTGAATGGTGAATGAAGTTTAAAAAAGTGAGAACAGTAGAGATGAAAACTGGATCGGGGGTCACAATAGGAAGACGGATTATCATTTTAACTTTGAGATAAAGAGATCAATTAGAAAAGATCCAACTCAATCCATAAGACATTTGGCGCGTGAGAGAGGAGTTTAAGTTATGACTGTCCAAAGAGCAGTGAAAACGCACGTGAGGCACCTTGTTACTCCAGGACAGAAAGTTAGAAGGTTAGAGCAGGCAAATTTCAACTCGAAAAAAGTTTGAAAATAATCCTGGAATATATATATATATATATATATATATATATATATATATATATATATATATATATATATATATATATATGAACTTTATTTCAATTCTTCATGAGTTTCTGATCCTTAGCTATGATAAATTAATGATGATCCTGTCATTTTCATTTATGATCAATTTTCATCTTCATTCTTTTGTTAAGTTTGGAGATTAATTACACTTTCTTATTACTCAAAGTAGAGTCCAATAGTATTATAAAAACCTTGGAAAATTCCAGTAAGATATCTTTAATCATCTGTAAGATACAATGGTCCAAAGCCTAATCTAACAAATGGACAATTTTGCTGTTACATTCCCTGTGTGTGTGTAAATATATATATATATATACACACACACACACACAGAGTGATATTGATAAGTTTCTAATGTACAAGGTGCCCCTAAGGTCTGGGCATATAGGCAAAAATGCTCATTTTCAAGAAATGAAATTTTCAACAACACATTGAATTGGAATATTAACAAATACCATATCAATATGATTTCCATCATTTGTGATGTGAAGGTTGATGCGCTTTTCAAGATTCCTGTGAATCCGATGCAATAATTCCACATTGCTATCACTTTTAGCACATTCACTGTTAATGCATTCAATCAAGTGTGTTGCATCTGTGATTTTCATTGAGTACACCTTCTCTTTTAGTGTATCTCAGAAACAGAAGTCAGTTCTTTCTTCTTTCAACAAAACTGTTTAATCTGTGAAGGTAAAAAAAAAAATATAGTTAATATGATTTTGTATGTGTCCAGACTTTAGGGACACCCTGTAGTGAGTCCACTGTACCCATGGGTGGTAATTTGGGTGTGTCCCTGGGGAAATTCAAAGGGTCTCAACTAAATAAATTCCTGTGTTAAACTGCAGGGCTACAGAGCAAATTCTTTTAATCATCATCTTAGAAAAAATGATTTTAATCATTCCATATCACTTAACCCTGCATTAGTTACCTTGGATTTCTGAAAATGGATAATCCCCTGGTGTCTGCCTCTCACAATAACTGAGCTACAACTGTGCCACACCCTATTCTTACACATTCTCGCTAAGTTAGGAGAGTAGGGGGGGGGGTGTAGCCAAAGAAACAATTTGCCAACTAGGAATTACAAGTACTTAAAAAGTTTGCAGTTAACAAAACACTCCCTGTAAATAATGCAAAATTAAATTGACAGAATTTTTTTACATTTGTATCAATAAACATAAAACAAAACAAAAAATTGTTTTTTTATTTATTTTTGTATTTAATTTAAAAAAAAACAAACTTTTCTTTTGTCAATTGAAATGACTAAAGTTGCTGATTTTAGTGCCATTTTTAGTAAAAAATAAACTGTTTTAAATATAGGCATCTTCAAAGAAACACCTATGGTTTAAGGTGAATTTTTAAAATAAAAAAAAATCTTTCCTGCAGCTTTTATTTTAGTTTTAATTTAATAGATTAAATTTAATATTTCCATTAAAAAAAAAATATTTCTTTCAAAAATGTTGAAACGACTTGTGTCTCTCATTTTGTGCTTATATGTAGATGTGACAACGTCATCAAAGCCCAGTTCGATGAAATCCGAACAGATGAAATGCTCCACAAAAATATCTTTCCAGTTTTTTTTAATCATCATCATAGAAAAACTATTTTAATCATGCCATATCACTTAACCATGCATTAGTTGCCTTGGATTTCTGAAAATATGTAGTCTCCTGGTGTCTACACTGCATGCTACACATTCTTACTGAGTAGTGGGAGGGAGCCAAAGAAACAATTTGCCAACTAGGAATTACAAGTACTTAAAAAGTATGTAGATAATATCAAATTATTAATGCCAATGGCTTCCTTAGAAAGCAAAAATACTAAATTAAAAACCAAAAAACCAAATCAAAAACTATGGTATCAAGGGGTGGGGGGAAAACAACTGGAAACCGATAACGAAACATAAATTGGCAAACCGACAAATTCTACTTCAAGATGTCCTGTGTGTATCAAATTCTCCAGTCCCTCTTTCCTCATTATGTGTCCCAGAATTTTCAACAATCTCTGTCATTCTGAGACTAAGAGTCCTTTTAGTTTCTTTTTTCCTTAACACTTCTTCGTTGTTCATATGCTATAGCCATGGTATTCTCAGCATCCTTCTGTAGAACCACACCTCCATTGCATCAAGTCTCTTCTTCATCTGTGAAGAAATTGTTAGGCATTCACAGCAGTTCAACATTTTTTTAAGGGAGATAACTTGGTAATTTTTAAATTTACCTCCTTTGAGAATACCTGTCAACTCTTGAATGATTCCTGTTTTTAGTTTTTTTGTTTTTGTTTTGTCATTTGTTTTTTTTCATTCGTGTACAAGCTCAAGGCTACAGAGTAAGAGACACAGTTTATGTGGATAGTTGAGGAAGATAACAGTTAACCCTAGACTGTTAAGATTTAGAAATAAGTATGAAAACAATTTTTTTAATTCATAAATTTATAAACATTTACTAAATTATTAAACTAACTATAAAGAAATTCTTATTATCTGCCATTTTATAAAGTTTGAATTAATTGGTGAATTGTCGATGTTTTGCCAACCATTCAAATAATCAATCTAATAGTGTTTATTATTTTTGTTGTCAGTTTTCAAGAACAAAGAAAATGCATAAATTCACTTTCATATGTTTAGCTTTTATTAAAATTCTAATTGTCACATTTTAAGACAATAAACATTGCCAAAGAATGAAAGTAGTTAAAATAATAGCAGTGTCGAGGGAAAAACCATCCTTTTGACATTTTTGAGGTCAAAAAATGATTATTCTTATTTTTTATCCATTTAGTAGATACATTTGCTTAAACATTTAACACCAGTTAAGGGTGAAAATTAAAACAAAAAATAGCTAGTTCTAAATATTTCAGGATTCATTCATCCAGCAACATTGGTGATTTGAATCTGTTAGTTAAATTAACCCAACAAGGATTTATACTTCCTAGAATCTACCAGCCCAACCCAATATATAAATATATATATATATATATATATATATATATATATATATATATATATCATCTATGCAAGCAAATATATGGATATAGATCCGACAGTATGAAGAAAAATATAGAGAAAAAAAAAACAAAAATCCTTATATACAATTATGCTGTTTTAATGTTAATATGTCAATGTCGGATGTTTCGGTCTAATAAACCATCTTCAGGACATATTCATAAATTATAACATTATCAATACAACATGACAAAGACGATGTACATAAGAACAAGACTTATCCAAACAGATAACTGAAAGTTATAAGATCAGTGCTCCGTTTAAAACATGGTCACGTTGTCATCAAGTGGGCGACGCTGTGAAAACGTATTCCTAAAATTTGAGTATTTTGAATGAAAAATGAAAAGAATTCTATTTTGATCTAAAATTTATATGTACGCTTGTCGAGCATTAATCTCGCTAGAAAAGGGGAAATACTAAATACTAATAAATAATAATAAATGAATACTAGACCTGGCTTCTTTAGTATTAAGAATGCTGGACAATATTCTCAGAGGAAGAAGACACCTGAAGCAACAGAAATGTGGTTCTGCAGAAAGATGTGGAGAATATCATGAATCGAACAAATGAGTGATGACAAAGTTTTGTAGAAAGCAAAAAAAAAAAAAAAACTCTTAACATCAGGAAGAGAGAGTTGAGATTTCTAGGACACCTCATGAGGAAAGAGGGCTTGGAAAATTTGATACTCATAGATTGAAGGGAAGATGGACAGAGGAAAACAATGCATATCATAGCTAATGAGTTTGGTCAAATGGATAACAGAATAGGGTTAGGAGAGATGGCAGAAAGACAGAATCTATTAAGAACTATAAAAGACAAGTAATTGTAGAGAGCCTTGATTATCAACATCCTGAGGAACATGGCACATAGAAGAAGAAATAAGAAAAAAAACAAAAACAACTCAGACTGAATAAGATACTAAATTTTATTTTTGCCACCTTGAAGATGTTGAAGAATGAAGTGATTGAAATAAAATGATCAAAATAACACTGATAAGGATAATAATCTAATTCCTTGAAGAGAGAACAGTAAGATAAAAGCCAGTTAATATCTTTAAGATAATGATCATTAAAAACAAAATTGAAAGATCTTTCATATCATAAAAGTTTAAGATTATTGCTGTAGTAAAATGTGTTTTTTTTTTCAAAATACTTACAGTAATATTTGAAGTAAAATATAATATATACAGATTAGAAAAAAACATGATGATGAGAACATGGATAAAATGAATTTCTTTTCACCTGACAGCAATAGGGGCTGAAAAAGTTAAAATATCTTAATTAGACAGCAATATTTTGCAACAGAAAAACTGAAATCCTTGTTACTTTTGCCATTGTTTCCTTGATAAGAATGTGTTTATTTTTATTATTATTTCAGTTAATTGTCACAGAAAAGACACAAAATTTACGTCGATTGGAAGCCCAACGAAATGAGCTGAACGCTAAGGGTGAGTTTGCCTTATTTGTTTTTTCACTTGTCTCTTTTCTTTTTGTTCTCCCAAAGAACTGACCTTGTTGGCAGCTCTTATGCTATGTTGATTGCAATCCCATCACATAGGTGAGACCCCCATTAAAATGAATCAGTCAATGAAATACTGATTAGCTACCCAGGCATGTCTTTTAGATTTTACATTCTCTGGAATAGAAATGGATAGGAGCAACCGTGGCCACAAAGTGAGGGATCAGTTTATATATTGATTGTAATACAGAATTGTTCCCCCCCCAACCATTTATATCTACATTATAATTTCTTGTTTGTTTATCAAATTCCGATTCAATATAAATCCACCTTTTTCTAACACCTAACTATGGGCAAGACTTGTATCACTAAATGTTATCTCAAAAAATAAAAAAAAATTCTTACACTCTAAAAATATTTTGGGGCTTTAAATAACCTGCAAAGGATTGATAAGCCGTAGAAAACGAATCAGTCACCAATTGTTTCTTTATTCATTATGTTTTGGGAGAGTAGGCTTCTGCAATTTTTTTTTTCTTTTTTCATTTGTAACAGAAATTAAAAAAATTGCAGCCTGGGCTGTGTTTCACTAATATAGTCAGTAAAATATCAATTTATTTTTTTGGCTTTTTCTACTAATGCAAATATAAGTAGGCAAATATGGTTGTTGTCAGACTCGTCTTGGATATGGTTGATAATATTACATAATTCCATCTGGCCTAGTTTACAGGTGCAAACCCGTGTCAAAGTAGTGAAATTTCCTTCTATTTCAACTGCTGATATCTCATTTATTTTCTAGGCTATTTTGATAAAATTAGTATGTAAACAAAACTCAATTTTTCTAAAGATACAATTCTTTTTCATGTGTGATAATTAGTTTTTATTTCATGTCTCTTTAAATTACGTCGCTATTTCATTGACGAACAGTGATGATTTTTTTTTTCTGTATTTTCAAAGTTGATGATTTCATAGTGGCGTTTTTTCAAAATAATTGCCCTCTGTCTTGTCTGTTTACACATATCAAAATAGTACCATGTTAAAAGAAAAAAAGGACATTCATCAATTTGATAGGCAAACCATGAGGTTTGAAGTTGTATTTCATAAAAGGTTTTGAAGTTGAAAGCTTTAGTAGATGAAATACCAGAAATTCAACATTTAACAAAATGAAATATACACCTCCCTGTAGAGTAATGTCTCATCTTTTATAATCAGTTGGTTTCATATTGTGGTGCAAGCAAATCAAACAGGGGGTATACTGCGTTCATTTTGTGCAAAATAGTCGAATCTGACACATCGAAATTTGTAATGCCAAGTGACAAATATTACCAGCTGAATTCCATTTTAAATCAGATTTGTTTCATTGATGGATATTAGAATTTAAATCTTTTTCTTATATTTTCTTTAATAATGTATTTTAAAACTGTATAAATAAATCAATTATTTATTCATTTTTAAAATAAATGCAAGCTGACAGTTTGGACATAATAAATAATATTTTATTTTGTCCAAATTGTTAGCTCAAACTCTCTTGTTGCCTCAGCTAGTCTGATTTTCTTAAAAAAAGAAATTTACAGAAATAATAAAATAAAAAATAAACTGAGTATATATTTAGTTCTATAAAATTATTTTGCTCATTTTTATTTGTCTATAAAAAATTAAAATAGAATGTTTAATGTTATTTTTCATTCTGGTTTTTGTCATCACTTTAAAAAGAAATTCTTAGACTTTGTTTAAATTTTTGTGTGTGTGCGTTTTCTATTTATTAAAAGTTGGTGACTCTATTGGTGAAAAGCAAGATTTTTCTTAATTTATAAGAAGTAAATTTCTATTAGAACAAATATTATTGGATTTTAATTAATAATTTTGTATCATCCTGACATTGTCCCAAAGATCTAAACTAATGTGATATTGGGATATCATTAATTTTGAGCTGTGGGTTGCTGATCCACTTTCCTGATCATGTGTTTGGCAGTCCCTATCACTCCCTAAATCTGGGTCTGGAAATCCTTTTGTGGTTGTTGTTTGTTTTATGTAAAGACAGGCTATGCATTATTGTTCAACACATTTATTATACATAAGTTTGGAGATCAACAATATTCAGCTTTCTCATACTATCATCTCTGTGGCGTAAATAAGTACAGTGTAACCCGGATATAAGAGAGTTGTCGGGACTGGAGAAGAAGTCTCTTATATCCGGGTTTGGTCTACTATATATACATTAACACAGGCTCTAATTTGGGACCAGAGAAAACCTCTCTTATATCCGGGTTACACTGTACAAAGAAGCATATTTTTGTCTCTTTCTTTTTTTTATGAACTTCTAGAAAGAAAAAAAAAAAAAAAAAACCTTTTTCTGATTCTTTTTTTACCTTTCAGTTCGTATGTTACGAGAAGAACTCCAGCTGCTTCAAGAGCAAGGTTCTTATGTGGGTGAAGTTGTGAAACCAATGGACAAAAAAAAGGTTTTAGTTAAGGTAAGATTTTGACCAAAAAATGGAATTGGTAACCTGAATTCAAATTGAAACCAAGACAGTTTGCATTAAATTTGAACTAATGTTCTGCATGAATCCATCTTTTTCTACCATTTGTGTCAAATAGGTGAGACTGGTCTCTCTAGCCTTGGTTGGAAGCCAGACAGGGAGAAGGACAACTCAGAATTCAAAACACTGAAGAAAGGAGTGGAAAACTACTCCACTGTCTTTCCTAAAAAAAAATCATGGCATTATAGAGTTTTTCAAGTATCATTAAAAAGGAAGCTGTAAAGAACTATGATCGCCTACATCACAAAGCATTATGCCATTTAGAGGATTTGGATCACGGAAAGAAAATAATTTCCTTTTATATTCAGTTCCTAATTATTAGGCTAGTTCGAAAATAATGTCACTTATTTTAAAAAGAAATAAAGGCCTCTTAAATTGCAAAATTATTTACGTAAAAATAGAACTCAAATTTTGGTGAAGACAAAAATAAATCACAAAGGTTCAAATTATTTGATTTAAAAAAAAAACAAAACATCTGGACATCTATATATACATCTATAATATATCAGTTTTTAATAATATTTGTCCTGCAAAAGGTTGATGTTGTAACCTAAGAAGGGTTACTGAATGAGAAATAACCAAAACGGAGGTTGGAAATGAAATGGTAATCTTTTATAGTATTAACAAAATACAATACTCGCCAGCGGCGTGAAGTAGGTAAACCACTGCTAGTGGTGGACTACTTAGACACCATGTTACCTTCACTTATAATAGTGTCCAACATATTTATGAGGATTGGGACACACCCATTAGTGTTCATAGGTATGGTATGCAACAGTTGGTAAGCTCATAATTTACATTATTCAGACTATTGTCCTCATCTTTGTCGACATATTTATTACAATGTTTTGGCCGTTGTACGCTCCAGCCTTCTTTAGGTGGTTGGAATGTCGAACTCACACTCTTTGGGTCCTGTCACTGGATCTAACCAACACCTTTATCCACTGTGCCATGTCAACCGCTTTGATGGATAAAGGCGTTGGTTAGATCCAGTGACAGGACCTGAAGAGTGTGAGTTCAATACCCGGTTAAGGCAGTGGAAAACTTTCAGAGGGAAATTAACAGGAGATAACTGATAACTGACATCCATCAAACATGGCATGTGGAACTAGAACAGTCTACCCCAGTGAGCAAAATAAAGGGTTCAGTTCGACATTCCAACCTCCTGAAGAAGGCCGGAGCGTACTATGGCCGAAACGTAATAAATATGGCGACAAAGATGAGGACAATAGTCCGAATAATGTAAATAATGTACATAATACCTCATCTCAGAAATATAGACAGTTGATAAGCTGTAAAAAAAACGTATTGTTCAATAATATTTGCTTTAACGAACATTTGTTGCCTAAATACGTAGAATCTATTGTAGAGTTGAAGTGGTTTTACCTTTTTTTTTTTTTTGCTTTTCTCAGCTAAAAATATTTAGTGATTAGAATAAATAAACATCGTCACAGTGTTAAGCTTAATTTTGATCTGAATTTCTGGGATGAAGAGTTACCCTTATTTACACTCGGACTATTATCCTCATCTTTGTTCTTATCACAATATTTACATTTCAGCAGCAAGGGTAACAACAGCATGCAGATTATGTCTAAGGCTCCAAATTCTAAACTCAGGATTGTCCCATCAGACATGTCTTCTTGAATCCTGTTTTTTTTATTGTCCTTTCTCCTCACTAAAGTCTTCCCATTCTCTTTCACTCCCAGTCACCCAGTGCATCTCAGTGGCATCATCGCCTTACTTGGGATGAAATGATTAAAAAGAAAAAAAAATGGCCTATAAAGCATTGGTTTTGTGATTGATTTGGTTTTTACAGCTTATTAACCATGTCTAGGTTATTTAAAACTAGAATATATTTCTAGATTGTAAGGATGTTTTTGGGAGATGATAATGGTTTACTGATACAGGTCCTACTAATTAACACACAGCTGGGCATTCTGGGTATGACGATAAACTATGTCCGTGTCCTGGGTAAGATGATAAGCTGCATCCAACAGGAAGGCCTCTGATCAGGAGGTTTTGAGGAGTGTGGAACCACCACTTAATAGCTGGTGTTCCCAGGTCAACTCTGACCTGGGGTGGTAGCACCTGTTAGGGTCCCAACTATGGGCAAATAGTTAACCCCCCAAATTGGGATCAAAACACAATGAAAGTGTAAAAATAGGTCTTAATACCAGAAATACTTTGTAAAAGAAAAAAATTATTACCATCAATACATTTTAGGCAAAAAAATTTTACCAGCAATATTTTTTTGGAAAAAATATTATCAGAAATAGATTTTTTTTGAAGGAAAAATATTAATAGCAATACATGTTTGAAAAAACAAATATTACCACCAATAAAAATTTTGTCACCATTGAGGTTGATATGCTGTAAACCAAACCAACAGCTGGGGGGATAAGAAGTGGATTTATACCCTTTCCCAAGGGTTTTTTTTTTTTTTTTTTTGCATAAATGAATATAAGAAACCGAATTGGAACTTGGTTCTCCAATTTTGTCATTATTCATTACACCATCTGCACACCAAAGATTATAGCAAATGGTATTCCCAAGCAGTCAGTCATCTAAGCACTGACCAGGTGTGATGTTGCTTAACCAGCAATCATAGGAGAACTAGTGTTTCAATGTGATATGGCCTTGGTTTTGTGAGTTTAATCCCTGGGCTGAGTAGTGCAGACTTGTTGGAATCAGGGTGAGCAATAATTGAGCAGAAAAAAAATTACCTGATGAAGGCAGGATTGCAAAATGGTTGAAACGTGATAACACCACCAAAGATGAGGCCAATAGTGCAAATAATGTTAAGATTAGTTGGAAAAATCTTAGAATTTTCTTTGAGAGGTTTCTTTTGCCAAATAAGGTATTGCATTACAAATGACAGCATGATAGTATTTTTTTCTTTTTTTTAATCATTTCACCACAAGCAAGGCAATAAAGCCACTAAGACAGGGAGTTACTAAAGTGTTAGAGAATATCAGAAAAATATATTGTTATGGAGAGAGGACAATAAAAGGACAAGAATTAAGAAGACAGAAGATAATGATTGATATTGCGTTTAAATTTTTGAAGATCAAAGTTGACTGGCAAGCAAGAAGCCTGTAAAGAGTTCCACAAGCAAGAAGTGTAATAGAAGAAACTTTGTATAGAACTTATGGTGACATCTTGCCATTTCAAGTGTAAACTGATGAGACCTTGCCGCTAATCTTGTCCTGTGCTTAAATTCATCAAGTCAAGGTAACAGAAGAAAGTTCATCAAAACTGTTTACTATGAAAGTATTTCTAGAAAAGGCAAAGGGAAGCTGTGTTACAGTGATGGTTGGAAAGTGATTGAAGCCAAGATGCCAAGTCAGGACCAATAACACGGCAGATTCTTCTTTGGATTTTATCAAGAATCTCTAAATATATAGCAGGAGCACTGGATCATATGTGACAGGAATATTCAAATGGTCGAATGGTCGTCTTATAAATATTTAAGATAGATTCTGGTGAGAAAAATTGTCTAGCATGACACAGTGAACCAACTTTTCTAGCAGCAGATTTATCAATTGATTCAATATACTCTTTCCACTTCATGGTCTGAGAAGGTGCAATGGGTAACTCTTTTGAAGGTTAGCATCAGCCATACTGAAGGGGAGGTAAAAAGGATTCTTTCAAACAACTAAAAGATAGCAGTTTTGTTTTGGAGTTTTTTTGTTGTTTTTTTTTTTTTTTACAAGAGCGAGCCATTTCTTGTAAATTTTTAAAGTTCTTGACAAGAGTGTTAGTGTGATCGGAAGCTGTTAATAGGCAAAACCTGTCTATTCACTATGGATTGATTTCCTGTTGCAGTAGAAGTTTTGATTTAATAATCCCCTTGTGTCTTTTTGATTGGGTTGGTTTGTTGGGCATTCTGTTTGTTTTCTCTGGAATTTGCCCATCAATTTGTTTTTTATCTGCTTATAAAATAAACTTTTTTTTTTTTATTTTTCTCAGGTCCATCCCGAAGGAAAATTTGTTGTTGATATTGACAAGAATATTGACATCACAGATGTTACTGCAAACAGCAGGGTGGCCCTTCGTAATGATTGCTATACATTGCATAAAATACTCCCAAATAAGGTAAAAAGATATGCGTATATTCATTTCTTTTTTTGTTGCCATAGTATTTTCCTTTTGCTGGTACTGGGATTTGAGACTTGTGTGCTGTCAACCCACTGCATAGGCAGGGATTTCAATTGGTACAACATCTCACCTCCTCCTGGATGGAGATGTTGACTAGCGTGGTGTCTTCCTTCTGTCTTGGCAGGGATTTTGACTAGCACGGTGTGTTCCCTCCATCTTGGCAGGGAATTTGACCAGCACAGTGACTTCCTTCCGCCTTGGCAGGGATTTTGACTAGCATGGTGTCTTCCTTCCATCTGGGCAGGGATTTTGACTAGCATGGTGTCTTCCTTCCATCTGGGCAGGGATTTTGACTAGCATGGTGTCTTCCTTCCATCTGGGCAGGGATTTTGACTAGCATGGTGTCTTCCTTTCATCTGGGCAGGGATTTTGACTAGGATGGTGTCTTCCTTCCATCTGGGCAGGGATTTTGACTAGCATGGTGTCTTCCTTCCATCTGGGCAGGGATTTTGATTAGCATGGTGTCTTCCTTCCATCTGGGCAGGGATTTTGACTAGGATGGTCTCTTCCTTCCATCTGGGCAGGGATTTTGACTAGGATGGTGTCTTCCTTCCATCTGGGCAGGGGATTTTGACTAGCATGGTGTCTTCCTTCCATCTGGGCAGGGATTTTGACTAGCATGGTGTCTTCCTTCCATCTGGGCAGGGATTTTGACTAGCATGGTGTCTTCCTTCCATCTGGGCAGGGATTTTGACTAGCATGGTGTCTTCCTTCCATCTGGGCAGGGATTTTGACTAGCATGGTGTCTTCCTTCCATCTGGGCAGGGATTTTGACTAGCATGGTGTCTTCCTTTCATCTGGGCAGGGATTTTGACTAGGATGGTGTCTTCCTTCCATCTGGGCAGGGATTTTGACTAGCATGGTGTCTTCCTTCCATCTGGGCAGGGATTTTGACTAGCATGGTGTCTTCTATCCACCTGGGCAGGGATTTTGATGCATGTTTTAAAGGCATTGCTAAACCCAGCTTATTAATCTTTCTCTCATGCGCGCACACACACACACGAGAGAGAGAAATTGACATTTTTGTCACTTGTTATATTTTCAACTATCTTATGGAAGAAATTATTTTTTTTTAATTTTCCTAATTTTAAGAGGATATTCAGTTTGCATTGTAAATCAATCCCACCCCCCCCAACTATGAAGTCCCAACAAATCACAAACTGCTTATTCCTTGCAATAAAGTGTATCCTTATATGAAAATTTCAAATTAATTCTTTTTTTTAAATTATATTATTAAAAGTATGTGTTTTACTTAAATTTTCTCTGTGTTGCCTTAATAAAATACTTGCATATAAAATTTCAAGTAATTTCAAAACAGCTGTGAAATATTATTTTAATTTTTTTTTTTTTTTTTTTTAGCTTTTTTTTAGCTTTTTTTATTATTATTATTATTATTATTTCTTATCTTTATTTTTGGGTTTGGTGGGGGGGGATTAATTTACATTGGATTTACAGGGTATTACACAAAATGATAGACTGCAAATAATAGTTATGGAAATTACATTTGTTGAAAGGTAAAAGGATAAAATTTGAGAATCTGCAACCATTTCGTCTCAACCATGAACTAAAAATGTCAAGAGGAGCCCTCAAGTACAAGCTCCAGATGTCTACTGTTCAGTTGAATGCAAAGTTGTTGATAACACGTGCACATTCCTCCTGGCTGATCACTCGAATCTTCCCAGTGATAGCTGCCTTCAGTGCAGCAATGGTGTGAGGGTTGCCCTAGTAGATGTTGTCCTTGAGGAATCCCCAGAGGAAGAAATCTGGTGGGGGTTCAGGTCAGATGAATGAGGTGCCCATTCCACTTCAGCTTCGCCATTGACAAGCTACACCCCAAACCTTTCAGGGAGCCATGCCATGGTAACATTAGCAATGTGATGAGGAGCGCCATCCTGCTGGAACCACTGTTCCTAGTATTCTCATGCTCCTTGAGCTCTCTCCATCTGAGAGGCTGCTGCTTTCTTTGAACAATTGTGAAATATCTTTTATATAGCAAACTGAGGTGGCCTCTTAAAATTTAGAATTATTTTTATATTTCTGACCTGGTAAGCTTATTTGATCGTAATATAGAAAAAAGATTTTAAACAAAACTCTTGGGGTGGATGTTTCGGCAGAAATTGCAATGTATCTTCTTCAGTGACTAGCTCATGTAGTGGGTGATTTTGTTGCTAGTTTTGTTTAACCTTTGTATGAATTTTCATTTGTTCATATTTTTTCCCTGTTGAGATTCATTATCTCTTTCTTTTCCTGGAAATATTAAAAAAACAAAAAAACTAACCAGGTGGATCCTTTGGTCAGTCTGATGATGGTTGAGAAAGTTCCTGATTCTACCTATGAAATGGTTGGTGGTCTGGACAAACAGATTAAGGAAATCAAAGAAGTGATTGAGCTTCCTGTCAAGCATCCAGAACTTTTTGAGGCTCTTGGAATTGCCCAGCCAAAGGTAAAGTTCACTTACTGGAATCAACATACTTTTCTTTTCTTTTTTTTTAAATAAACCTCCCCCCCCCACTATTCTACAAATTTCTCCTTCAAATTGGACCTGTCAAAGGGTAGATAAAGTTCTTATAGGAGACAACAGCCAACACACACACACACACATATATATATATATATATATATATATATATATATATATTTAATAAAACAAATCCTTTTACGTCATGGAGAATAGGTTATTTCAGCAGATGACAGATATGAACCTGTTGTAACCCATGGAAGGTTACTGAATATAATAATCACACAAAGGTTGGTAACAAATGATAATACTTAGGGCACGAACAACACATACAAGATTTGGCAGCATGTAGGAGAAGCAGTCCACTGCTAGAAGTGAGTCAAGTGAATTCCACAATGAATCTCCAACTCTAGACCAACATACAGTATTTACTACTGTATTTATGTGAATGTGGACATTATCATTTGTAGGTAAGCTACAACAGAACCTCAGTCCACACTGGGATTGAAAAGTCAGACATCACTATTATTTTTTCAAATATTATGATTAATGTTTCTCTCTCACTTTTTTCTTTTCAATACTAAAATTTTTGATTAGGTAAATGAGCAGAAAAGTGAGGCCATACTTACTACAACAATGTTTTCAGTCACATGTTCTTATGTCAAACTTGGTTTTACTTTAACAGTTTTATTCTTAAAGAGGTATTTGACTGTGCTCTCTTTGGTAAATGGCGACATTCCTAAACCACTTTCTGAATGTCATTCTAATTGAGTGTTTCACAACCTTTTTTTTTTTTTTTTTTTTTTTTTTAAATTTCTGGGTGTACTTGTAGAATAAGCAAAACTCTGGAAATTTTAATGAGGAATAAAAGTCATGAAATTTGAAAATATATTTTGGTTTAGCATTCCCCCAAAAAAGATTCATGGTACAGTTTTCATTTAAAGGGATTTATGAAGAATTTGCTTTTATTTTTTTTTTTTTTTTTTTTTTTTTTTTTAAAGAGAGAGGCTGATAAGTACAGGTTAAAAGGAAGGCAAACAGGGAAAAGGATTATCCACTCCTTAAAGATTAAAGAATTTACCACCCAGTTTAATATATCAAATGACAGAAGTCTGGTCTTAGACATAGGTGCCATATGTATAGTGTCTGTAGCTTTTTAAGAATAAAGTTTTTAAATATAAAATAATTAATAAATTCCTCTTCTGTTAACTTGGGGTGCACTTGGCTACCTTTTAAAGGTGTGCCTGGATACACCGGTTAAGAAATGCTGGTCTTGATAATAAGACCAAGATATGCGGAGCATGCATATTTGACAACTACCAAGATAATATTTTATGTAGATAATATTTTTTTTGTTTTGTTTTTAATGCTTTTCTGGAATTTAGAGAATGTGGAAGATCTTTGTCTTAATGATTTTTATATTTTGTTTTGCAGGGTGTGTTACTGTATGGTCCACCCGGCACGGGGAAAACTTTGTTGGCTAGAGCTGTTGCTCACCATACAGAATGTACATTTATTCGAGTGTCTGGCTCAGAATTGGTACAGAAATTCATTGGTGAAGGTTCCAGAATGGTCCGAGAGCTCTTTGTTATGGCCAGGTGAGTCCAGCAGGAAAAATTTTGTGTGTGTGTTTTTTTTTTTTTTTTTTTTTTTTTTGTTTTTTTTTTAAACAGAAATCTGTAATGGAAGTAATAATACCACAGAGAAAATGTAACATGTATGCAACAAAAAGTAGAGTGAAAAGGGGTACAAAAAAAAAAGTCTTAAGTGTTGTAATTCTCTATGGGATTTGGATTTGCTGGAGATTTTTCAGTGTTTCTGGAGAAGCCATATTTAGGATTTCAGATCTCAATGGGCTGGATTTGTCTGCTTTTTCACAAACAGGAAATGGCAAGTCCTGGGTTTTTCCCAACATAAGGATGATGAGCCGGAGATATTTTCTGTATCTGGTGAAGATATATTTCTATCAGAAAACTATGCCGTAGACTTGTAATAAGCCGCACCATCTGTTTAGGGGAAGGCAGATTTAACCTCAGTCCTGGCTTGGGGGCCTGAACTAAAAAGCAACTGATTGGTTTGACAACAGGAAATTTTGCTTCCACTTTTGTTGCTGTATAAAGTGATGTCATTCAGCAGGCCGTCGTGTGACCCATGTGACTTTTCGACCAAAGGGAGACAATCAGCTTTTGTATCTCTACGTCAGTAACTAATTTTATCCTAGAAATTGATTTTGGGTTTTTTCTTTTTAAATTTCTGGGATGATCAGTTAACATTATTTACGCTCTGCAGTTGCATTGGACTAAATGGATGTGTGGGTGATGTTAAGGGTAGCAGCCTGGAATGGGAAATTGGAGAAGCAGATTTGAAATTACCTGCAAAAGGTTGATAAGCCATAGAAAACCAATCAATCAATGAAATACTGATTAGCTACACAGGCATGTCTTTTAGATTTATTTACATTCTCTGGAATAAAAATGTATAGAAACTACTGTGGCCTCAAAGTGAGGGATCAGTTTATATATTCATTGTAATATAGAATTGATCCCCCACTTTATATCCACATTATAATTTCTTGTTTGTTGATAAGTCATAGAAAACGAATCAATCAATCAATGAAATACTGATTAGCTACACAGGTATGTCTTTTAGATTTATTTACATTCTCTGGTTGGTTCGTTGTTTTGTTTTATGGCATATCAACCTTACTGGGTCATTTAATGCCAACAAAATTTTTGAAATAGATTCATGGCGATAGTTTGGTAAATATACGTATATATTTGAACCATTTTTCAATTACTTGTATTTTTGAGTACAATCCAACTTCTTTTAGGAAATTTACAATCTTGGATGGTTTTATTTTTTTTTTTTTTGATTACTCACTTGGTCAGATTCTCCAGTTTTTTTTCAAAGAATGTGTAGCTGCTTGTATTACTGGTATTTTTTTTTTTTTTTTTTTTAAGTATTGCTGATAATAATTTTTCCTTAAAAAATTATTGTTGGTATTTATTTTTTTTTTTTATTATAAAGTATTTCTGGTATTAAAACCTATTTTTACACAAGTTTGGGTGTTAACTATTTGCCCATAGCTCGGACCCTAATAGGTGCTACTACTCCAGGTCAGGATGGAGCTGGGAACACCAGCAATTAAGAGATGGTTCCACGCTCCTCAAAACCTCCTGATCAGAGGCCTTGCTCTTGGATGTAGTTTATTGTCATACCCAGAACAGTACACTCTCTGGAATATAAATATATAGAAACTACCGTGACAACAAAGTGGGGGATCAGTTTGTATATTGGTTTTAATATAAAATTGATCCCCCACTTTATATTCATCATATAATTTTTTTTACCAATTCTGATTAGGTATGAATCCACCTCTTCTTCCTCCCCAGCTATTGGTTAATTAGTTAAACTTGTATCACATCTTACGATCTGAAGAAGAAAATATTTTCTGTGAAGGGTTGATAAGCTGTAGAAAGCAAATCAATCCATTCCCAAAATTGTTAATATTCAGTTACAAGAATTATTCTTACAATCCCCAAAACATGGTTTGGCTTTAAATAACCGACAAAAGGTTGATAAGCTGCAAAAAATTAAATCAATTGATAAAAAAAACTGATTGGACTAATGTCCTCACCTAATCATATTTTGGCTGTTATGTCCTTTGACCTTTTTTTTAGGTGTCTCTTGATCCAGGCAACCTTTGGACTTCGGCCAGAGCTTGCTTTACTCTAATCTTTAATCATTTTTTGGAGGGGTAGGGGTGGCTATTAATTTTTTTTTTTTAATTTTGAAATGTTGGGGAGGGTAAAAAAAAAAAGAAAATGATTTGTAAAAATTTTCACGACCTGGTAATACTTGAAATGAATTTGTTGTAAAAAGATTTACAATAAATCCAAATGGCCTTCCTTTTGTAGCAATATATGATGATACTCATTACCCCACATCACATTGGAGGCGAAAATTGTCGCTGCAGAATTCTCTCCCTTTGAGCTGGAGACTGTTGCTACTTGTCAACTGTTATTTCCGATATTTTAAACTCGAAATCGCCTACTACTGCCTTGAAACAAGGTTAAACTTCCACTTTCCAGAGCCATTTTGAATTCTTCTAGACTTTACACAAGGTGTAACATCGATTAAACTCATGTTTATTTTTTTCGTGATTTTTTGTAAACAAAAATGGCTGCATCGATATTCAATAAAGCCTTTATTCAGGAGTTTTTCTTTGATTAGGACACTGATGATAATTTTGAAGGCTTTACTCAAGTGGATATTGATGGTGAAGTGGTTGGAAATAATAACCATACTAGTAACGTGGAGGAAAGCGATGATGACCACTAGATATCGAAACTGGTTACTATCATCCATCACTGACTAGCTACTATCCCCAGAATATACCTGACAGTCTTTCTGAAGGTGAATTATTTTGTTTATTTATAAACGGCGAAATAATAACTTTATTTGTGAACAAGACAAATAAATGTGATAGGTAAAAGAAAGACGCAACAACTGCTGGTGTCGTCTTGTATGTAAACACGAGGAAGCATGTCACTTTTTTGACAGAATGAAAGCCTTCTTAGCCATTTTGCTTCTTACTGCACCCCAGAACTACATAAGGATTAATAAAAGTTGAAGTATGTTGAATTGTTAATGTATTTGTTTTTTATTTTGCAGTTTAATTTCTTTTTTTTGTTTTCAGCATCAAAACATGCATGCAAGATATAATGCATTACATCAAAATATTACCCATTCATTCTTTTATTAGTGTAGAAAAAAATAAAATCTATACACACAGCACAAAGAAAGTTATAATAGTTTTAAAACGGGAGGTGTTCATATTTTTACACCCTCAAAAAAAAAAAAAAAATTACAGTGGCAGGGGGAACAATTCTAGAAAATTTAGCGTGCTAAAGGATAAAGAATTTGCAGTATTTAAAGAATGAGCCTTTTAATTGGATGTGACGGCTCAAAGTCCATCTGTAGGTGACATTCTTATCTCTGTCTTGGCCAAAATATTTTCGCTCAGTTCACATTCATTACCCAGACTTTTGAACATAAGTAGAGGTTTATGCCTTCTGTCCTGTTTAGGATGGGGTGTTTAGTTGCTTCTCCCAAAGTCTTCTCATTTTTCTTTTCACTATCAGTAAGCCCCTAGCGTGTCTTAGTGGCATTATCACCTTGCAGGGGGTGAAATGATTAAAAACAAAATGACTTTCCCTTAGGAAACGAAAAAAAAAAAATGAAGAAAAATTCAAACTCCATAAAAGAGGAAATGTTTTGGATTGCTAGTCGTTTAACCCAGCAAACACTCCGAGGGGAAACCCGATTTGACACTCTTTGCTTTCCCCCATGGTGAAAATCTTTATATGCTGTGTCCCCCACCCTTACCAGGACGTAGGCGATCATGGCTCTCTTGTAGCTTTGTTCATTGTAGGTCTTAATAAATTTAGTTTTTAGACTGTTTCTCTATCTTACGTGCTGTTTTCCTCTGTCTTTCTTTTCCCTCAATCTGTCCTGTGAGTATCAGATTTTCCAAGTCCTCCTTCCTAATTATATGCTCCAGAAAAAAATTCAACATTTTTATGAGCCGATTCAATCGGAACAAGGGGGGGAATCAAGGGGAAATAACTCTTGAGATTTTATGTAGGAGTTATTGTTCTTGTCAAATAAATTTTTTTTTCCTTTTTCAGTTCATTGATGATTATTATTATTATTATTATTATTTTTTTTTTTTTTTTTTTTTTAATTTATCAATTCACCCCAAATAAGGCAATGATGACACTAAGATGCAAGAAGCTACTGGGTGTAAAAGAGAATGAAAAGACATTAGAATAAAACGGAATCCCAATCCTAAACAGGGAGCAAAGGATAAACCACATCTAGTAAGATGAAAGTGTAGTATCTGTTCTTATCAGCTTAATCTGATTCTTTCTCTCTCTCTCTTCCTTTCTTTCATTTTCTCACAGAAACCAAGTAGTGTCTCCCCAACCCTCTGCTAGTCCATTATTTATGGGGTATAGGCAGGGCGTAAGGGTCATGCGAAATAATGAACGGTTGCACAAGCACAATTATAATAGGATATTTTTATTTGAAAAAGCAAGCAAACCAATTCCGTGGTTAAAATGCCTTTTATTTTAATTCTGTATTTGCAGAGAACATGCACCATCAATAATTTTCATGGATGAGATTGATTCAATTGGTTCCTCTCGATTGGAAGGAGGATCTGGAGGTAAAAACTGTTTCTTTTCATTTTCATTGAACAGGATCTTCAAATGCAAATCATTTAAAAACTTAAAGCAAATGGTTGATAGAAAAGTTCTGTAACTGCATGCTCGTAGCTTTGTGGTTTAGCATTTGTCAATGGTCACTCTTTTCTCGTCACCTCCCTGTTAACATACAACGTCACCCCCGACCCAAGCTTTCCTCTGACGGACTAGGCTGTATTTCAATCCTCAATCTTGGCAGTGTTCACTGAAAGCTGGGAAAGGGTGCTATTACAAGGTAACATGATGAAAGAAACACTACATTGAGAAATAAGAACATTGAACCCTTAATTGTATTTTATTTGGGGCTTTGCCTGCTTGTCCGGTTGAGTACTTGGGGAAACTTCTGCTGTGTCAGCTTCATTTTGAATTTATAAAATGAAATTGTTCTGTCAATTTGTGATTAAGCATAATTAAAATTGTTTTTTGTGATGGGGATAAAAAAAAAAAACAAACTTAGTCTCTCGCCCTGCAGTTTAACACAACAATTTGGTAAGAAACTTTAGATGGAACCCATTGAATTTCTCAGGGACCCACACAAATGATCATTTGTGGGTCTCGGGGACTCCTTACATGAAAAACCTATCAGCATCAATTTAGTATCACAGTTCATAAGGGTACTTAATTGGGCCTCAAACAGGAATTTAGCATATTTGCAGGTGTACAAGATACGCATCTGTTTTCCAAGGATATTTGTAGAGTGAGTGGACATGGTTAAATGTAAACAAAGAAAAGAACTACCTAACAAACAGAATTGACAAAGTTTGCAATAAACAACAAGTAAAAGAAAAGAACAAGGCAAAAGAATAATATAAAGCAAGCAATAAGACAACACGTTCACAAACTAAGAATTGCGGTTGACATACACGCAAGTTCAGATAAGTGAATGTAGCGTTCTGACTTCAAGACAAGACAGACAGGGACAGAGTCATATGAAACTGAGAACTGGCCTATTTATTTTATTGTTTAGGAAGAAATCCCAGCATGCACTTGTGTGTTTCTGCTGATAAATTGGGGAGGGAAAATTTATTTTGCAGTTGTTCTCATTGGGATTGAAACCAACAAAAAAGAAAAGCCTATAATTAATACTAATTTATTATAAACCTATAATAACACTCCACTCTATAAAACCCTACTTGCTATGGAAAACACAGCAGCCTGGGGAAGTTGTGGCCACATACTCTACACCGGATTCTACAGGGTTAATACACACACACACACACACACACACACACACACACACATATCTATTCATAAAAATATGACAAACTGGAAAAGTTTTTTGTGAGGCATTTCGCCCATTAAGAAATAGAATCCAAATGATTTTGGCTAGACTGAAGATAGAAAAATAAAAATTCTTTCAAAAGATTTTGAAACTACCCGTGTGTCTTGTTTCGTGCACATGTGTAGATGTGGCAATATCAACAAAGCCCAGTCTGATTAAATCATAATGGATGAAACGTGTCACAATAAAATCTTTCAAGTTTTCATATTTTTCTAAATACTGTTGATATATAAAATTATACAAAATTATATATCATTTTTATATATATATATAACAATGATAATTTTAAAAATATGTATTCGTCGCAACACAGAAATAACCACAAAACCTAAATCTTAAACTTAAAATTTAAAGTTCAGTTCCATTTTCAAGCGATGCAGAATAACCTTTGTAAAAAAATTAAATCATTTGAACATCCCTTGAAAATAGAACTGAACTTTAAATTTTAAGTTTAAGATTTAGGTTTTGGTTTTGTGGTTATTTCTGTGTTGCGACGAATACATATTTAAAAAAAAAAGTAATTATATTATTATGCTCTCCTGTGTATCGAGCACTGTTTTTGAAAATGTAAAAGAACTCTGGATCATAAATCTGACTGTTCTTTCTTTTTATTTATATATATATATATATATATATACACACACACACTATTTACATTATTCAGACTATTGTACTCATCTTTGTCGGCATATTTATTACAACGTTTTGGCCGTTGTACGCTCCGGCCTTCTTCAGCTGGTTGGAATGTCGAACTGAACCCTTTATTTCGCTCGCTGGGGTAGACTGTTCTAGATCCACGTGCCATGTTTAATGGATGTCGGTTATCAGTTATCTCCTGTTAATTTCCCTCCGAAAGTTCTCCACTGCTTTAACCGTGTATTGAACTCACACTCTTTGGGTCCTGTCACTGGATCTAACCAACGCCTTTATCCACTGTGCCATGAATAAATCGTTCACCCGCCAGTAATTTACAATCACCTGATGAGATGCGTTGATACGCATCGAAACATGACTTCAATTGTGTAGTGTTTTTAAACATGTTTTCCATGTAATATCCTAAAATAAAGAACATTCCTCTATTTTGATATTGGACCCTCTTTTAATTTAGATGTTATGAACATGGTTATTGTACTTTATTCGTTTTCATCTTACCTGGAGATATATATATATATATATATATAACACCATTTTTCCCCTATAACCTGTAATTACACCATATTTTTATAATTAATACTAGATTTTACAAGTATTAATTCTAAAACTTGTCAAAGGACAACTGAACCTTCATATTGGGTCAATGGCCATCTCGTACAATGGGGTAGAATAGGTTCTGCATCAGTGAACTAGGCAGGGTTTTCCTAGACTGAAGTCAATGGCTATTTGTCCAAGATCCATTGGGGCCTTCAAACTGGAGGGTGTTGTTAAAATATCCATTGTTTACTCAACATTGCAAGTCTATCGATATTCTGTCACTATTTCCATGACACAATGATTCCACTAGATTCAGATCTTTACAACTAGGACATGTCACTTCCACAGAGTTGAATCACCTTTATTTCCTCCGTATTCCAAGTATAAAAAGTAAGTTCCACTCATGCAGCTTCCTCCCTCCTCAAGAACTGCCACTTTGTAGAACAGACTACCACATGGGTGCTTTCTTGAACACTACAATCTTGACCTTTTCAAGTCAAGGTTCAGTCTTCTTTGCCCTCATAATCTCCACTTCCTACCACTCACCTGATTCATCATTTCAATTGAGTGGCTTTCGAATATTTGGTGAATTTTAGTATAAAAAACCCAAAAAGGACAAAGAAGTATGAATTTTGTTAACATGTTAAAATAAGATGTCTTGAAGGAATTTGAAATAAACGGTTGGTGAAGAATTTAAGTTTTGTTATTGTGTAGAAAAAACGAAACTTGCATTGCCAGGCATTTGTCAGCTTTTCAAACTTGCATTTTAGCTTTAATATTCTTTTCCGAGAATTTGAAATGTATTTTCTTAACACGTTGGCTACCAACCCCAAATCATTATATGGTCATATGGGGCTGCTATTTTTTTAATTTTTGAAAGTATTTTTCTTGTGATAATATTCTTTGAGAAAATGTCTGTCAATGTATATTTTCCTAACCTCAAAAGCTGTGTCACCAACTGACAGAGTGACATCTACTTTCATATGTACATAATTATTCAATTTTTCACATTCTCCAAATGATTATATATACAGGGTGTCCATAAAATCTCTTTAAAATTTAAAAAATTTATTACAAAAGTAAATGAACAGACAAATATGTGGAAAATAAAGAGTAGACAATGAAGTCATTTTAATTAATTTAATCCACGTCTATATAAGCCCCATTAGTTGCACGAAGCACATCAAGACGGCAGTCAATTTCTTGCCATGTTCCCTGTAGCATAGCCTCATCAGTGGTGGCAATGGCATCAGTGATCTTTTGCTTTAGATCTGTTAGGTCATGTATCTTTGTTTGATACACAATATCTTTAACATAACCCCATAGAAAGAAGTCAAAGGGAGTGTTATCTGGTGAACAAGGTGGCCAGGGAATTGGGCCTTCCCTTCCAATCCACTGGTCTGGAAATGTTAGGGGTTTCATTTAACAGTACCTCTTTCATCAAACAGGATACCAGAAATACACAAATGAAATGTGATTAAAAACTTTGATAACTACTGAATACATAGAACAAATCTGATTAAGATATCTCATCAGTAATATATTTTTTAAATTGTAAAGAGACATTATGGACCATATATATATATATATATATATATATATATATATATATATATATATATATATATATATATATATATATATATATGGGGTGTCCATAAAGTTCGTGGGCACTTTAAAAACTTATAACTTTATTTGTATTTGCGATAGAAATAATTTGTAAAAAGGATTAGAAAGAAGCAAATCTATATTTTTTTGAGGTGTTATTGAAATTTTATTTAAGTTTCCATATGTCCTCCATCATTAGCAATACAAAGGGTAATACGATTTTGCAGTTCACGGAAAACATTTGCCAACTGATTTACAGTAATGCCTGACAATACATCAGTTACTTTAACTATACTTAAAACTAGGGACATTAAACTTTGTAACATTTTTTACAGATTATTTCTATCGCAAATACAAATAAGGTTATACATTTTTTTAAAAGTGCACACGAACTTTATGGACACCCTGTATATATAATTTCCTAACAAGTAAATGCTTCATGACAAATAAGCATTATTATGTGTGATGTGGGATTTGAGACAACCCCATATATTGGGGACAACAAATTCTGCAAATATTGCAAAAAGCATTTTTCCTTCAGCTTCATTTTTCATCCCTGCCAGACATTTCGAAAACATGTAAGACATTGTTTTTTTTTTTTTTAGACTTACAGAAAACGTTTCGTTAAAACTAGATTTGATACATTTTGTTTGCATTCACAATTTAGTAAAATTCTTGTTGAAAATACATCTATGCTTTTTCATGAATATAAATAAAGTAAAAATTCTTGAAGCTATGTATATGAAAAATTGAAGCCAAACCATTATAAAATTAATTATGAATACTGCACAAATATTTTAAAATATTTACAGTAGTTTAAAATACCAAAAGCTTTTAATATTTATTTTAAAAAAAAAAAAAAATTCTCAACATCATAACTTGGTTACATGACCGTTACTCAAACTAATTGCACTAAACTCAGCGTTCTTCACTTTACTAGCAAAAATTTTAACTGTCAGATGAACACAGCAATATTTGACTTGAAAAAAAAAAAACAACCTGATGATGGCGTTGTGCTAATGTCAAAAGTACTCTGAATAATTTTCTCCCTTCCTTTAATGACACCAAAAACCTTGTCTGTGAATATGAAAGGATCCAATTGAAAATTGGTAGACAAAACTTGTCTAAATTATTCAAAGAAACATGTCTCAAGATATATTCAGTTGTATGGATATGAGTTTGTGACTGGGTTTCATGCTTTTGCGATCATCAGGCGAACTGGTTTATTTTTTAAAATTGAATTTATTTATCCTTGTTTGACTGTGTTTGTTGGTGGTGGGAGGGGGAAGCTGCAGACTTTGTTTTATGTAGGAATATGCATAGGGTATTGCCAAAATTTGATGAAGGAACTTAAAATGAAGATATCACCTTCATCAGTAACTTGAGAGATGGCGTAGACTGAAATAAATACATTATATATATATATATATATATATGGTGAACTAGCAGTCAACATGTTAAAAGTAAATTAATTATTTGAATTGCTTTCTTTAAAATTTTAGGTGATAGTGAAGTCCAAAGAACCATGTTGGAATTACTTAACCAATTGGATGGCTTTGAACCGAAGCAGAACATTAAGGTAAGAGAATTGTAAATAAAGGTACCACCTGAAATACTTATTGCAATTTAGTAAAAGGAGTCGTTTTTTGATTTGAAAAATTAGGAATTTTTTTTCTTTCATCATTTAAATATCTTTTTTTATGGCAATGGTAATATTAACCGTTTCCTAAAATGTTTACAGTAGATAGTTTAAAATACCATGGTTTGTACCAATAGCTCTTAAATACTTATTTTTAAAAGAAAAATATTCTTGACATCATAACTTTATCTTCTTTGAAGTGTTACTCACACTAATCTTAGTGTTCTTCACCTTACTAATAAAAATTGTAACTTTCAGATGAATGCAGTAATATTTGTCTTGAAAAAAACAACAACCTGATGGTATTGTGCTAGATTTACAGTTAATGGTTTACAGCAGTGGTTTCCAACCAATTTTGGGCCGTGCCCCTCTGTAATATTTAATTCTTACATATTCAACATTTTACTGCAATTCACATGAAGGAAGCTTAAAAGGCCATTAACTTGGTTTCTAAACAAGCCTCCAAATATCATGGCATCCATGAAAGAGAAAAATTAAAAAACAAAAAGACAGTGAAATATATATAGTTTCAAAACGTATAATAGAGAACTGAAAGGCAAAAATATAAAATATTTGAATGAAAGCTTATTCGGTAATATACTTTGATCATTTTATTCATGAAATAATAATGCAAAATGAAATTTGAGCTCACGTTAGTATAGTAAGTCAGAGGGTGCACATCCTACACATGCCCCACCAAAATATTACCATGACCCACTGGTGGGGTATGCGTCTCACGTTGGTTTAGAATTTTATAAATAAGTCCTTCATGAGATCCATATGATCTGACAAGGATATTTAAGAACGTGACATTTTGTAGCATCTTAACACTGTTCGGTGAAACTACTCCTGATGCAGACTATTTTATATTCAATTTCCTTCCATCCCTATACTAAATTTGTTATATGTCATCTATACAACGATGGTATTTGAAATGTTAAAAACAGAAAATTCTGCTTCATTCTACAAAGAAACATCACATTCATTGATATGATTAAATAAGCCGCAAGTAAGAAAAGAAATAGAAATTTGATATATTTCACTATATAAGCTTCATTTATCTTGATTAATGCACAAAGCATGAATTTTAAATTAAATTTTGCAAATTGCTTAGTTATCAAGACGAGTAAGAAAAAGATCAGTAAAAAAGCTTCTGCACATTATTACTAGAGGCAAATGTATGTAAACACCACCAGTAATGGTAGTCAGTCTAGACATGAATAAGGTTGAAATTATATTGTCGATAACTCCTAAACGATTTTCTTTTGCAAACTTTTATTGTTATTTTGGAATTAATCAGGCAATTTCGCACTGGAATGGAAATTTTCATTACTTATTTTCGGTACTTAGACTTTAAGAATTTAAGCCTAGTACTAGATTGGTGGCATGGTCTCATCACTTTACAGTTAAAATGGTGAGATATAACCATAAGTTCTATGCTAACAGTTTCTTCTCTAGCACTTCTCACTTGTGGAACTCTCTTCCACTTTCTTGCTTCCCAGTCAACATTGATCGTCAAAAATTTAAATGCAATATCAAGCATTATCTTCTGAATTCCTATTCTTTTATTGTTCTCCTGCCTTAATAATGTTGTTTTTATTTTCTCACATTCAGTAACTCCTTATGTTTTAGTGGCTTTGCCTTGCTTGGGGTAAAATGATTTTAAAAATAGTAATAATAGATTAAATTTAGTAATAATAGTAATGTATAAATTATAAATATAATATTTAGACTTCAACATAAATGAGGGTAGGAAGATTGTGTAGCTTCAATTTTCCAAGTACAATTGATCTGTCTGGTTTGGGAATCCAAATATAGAAACCTTGCTTTTACCTGGGCTTGAACATTGATGCTGATGTGCAACTGTCTCAGCCATAAAGCAGATCCCCTGTGATGCACTGTTTTCAGTGAGCAATTTTATTTTCTTAATTCTTTCACTTCCTCACCCTTTATTTTTTTATATATATATATATATATATATATATATATATATATATATATATAAAGTGATAGAATAAAGAACAAATAGGAAATGTTTATGAATTTAACATGTTTTGCTTTTAGTTAAGCTTCATCAGAAGATGAAATGTGGAATGGAGGAAAAAAAATTTTTGTATTTTTATTTTTATGTTGTTTGTTTTTCATTAATTAGGCAGACCTCATGTATCTATCCTGTCAAGGAGCATTCAAGTGCATACTTTGTGTATGTATCAATTCTAGTTTGTTTATGCAGGATTCAAATGATAATGTGTATTTGTTACTTAGACTTCTGATAAATATTTTTGCCATCTGTAAACACTTTATATTACCAACTTTTATAAAATTCATACTTAAAGACTCTATCTACGTACTACCACAACTGGTGTAACTGAAATTCTTTCACCCCAAATCAAATTGTGGACAGCCATGGGACATAGATAAAAAATGCTTACTAGATGCATACACATTGTCATTTAAATAATGCATCAATAAACTGTAATTATGATACACATTTTTTTTTCTTCCTTTTTTCAATTTTTGACGTACAGTATGTGAGAATATATGTGATACTCTGCCCTTATCTGCTGCCAATCAAGGGATGTAACACAGTTTTGGTGACTAAGGTGGTACTGCCACCCCAGTCTCCCCCAACAACTTTTGCCAACAGACAGGGCATTGTTTTTTATGTAGTCGTATCAGTCTCTGCAATTTTTTTGTTTTCTTTTGAAACTGCAAATCAGATTTTCAACATTGTGTTAAGCACACATGACCAACTGTTTAACAGGACAGATACACGTGAGGTCTGCTTAACCAATGAAAGGCAAACAACTCAAAAATAAAAATACCAATATTTTCTTTTTTCCTCCATATTGTGTTTTCTGATGAAGCTTAAATAAAACTGAAACATTAAATTTATAAACGTTTCCTATATGTTCTTTATCCTATAATTCTTTTGGTTTCTAATCCATATTTGATCTATATTGGCTTCCTGTTCACACACACACACATATATATATATATATATATATATATATATATATATATATATATATATATATAATAAAAAACAACAAATCCGTTTGTATATAATCCAAGTGGATTCTAGTAATATAAAATATTAAAACTGATCTACAAAAAAGAGTTCAATGTATTTATTATAACAGAGCTAATAAATAGTATTACACAACAAAATTTAAAATTACCTCAGATGGGGAGGTGGGGGATAGATCTATTTCAACCGATGAAAATTTTGTCAGTCTTATTCAACTGAGTTTGTGTCGGAATGAGAAATTTAACTGTGACAGCCATTGAAAAATTGGTACAGAATTTATCCATTTCAATGTTTCAGTCAGACAAAATGCACAAGATGGTTGCCAGGGGAGGATAGACGGTATTATCCTTAAAAGGAAGAGGTTTTATAAAATTAAACCTGATGGCTGCTAAAGTTAAATTTTTAATTCCGACATGAACTCAGTCTATATACCAGGGTTGAATAAGACTGGCAATGTTTTCGTCGGTTGAAATAGATCTATTCTCCATATGAGGTAATTTTGGATTTTGTTATGTAATACTATATATACTTTTAAAATATTCATTTTTAAAGTCCTAATAGAGAGCTGTGTTTGAATTCCTGTCAAGTTGGTTATATTTACTTACATGTAAATATACCCTTGGAAAAGGAATGAATCCATTTCTCCTCCTCCTAGCTATGGGTTTAATAGCAGGACTTGTATAAGAAAAACATTATTATCTCAAAAATATTCTTACGATCCAAAAATGTTTTAGCTTTAGATAACCTTAAAAAAGGTTGATAAGATGTAAAAAAAAATAGTCAATCAATTTCAAGCCATAATACAATTCTGGATCATATTGGTCCTTCAGCTTGTGTGCTAATCAACTACCCCCCTCCTCCATCCCATCCCATCTGTTCACTATGTTTTTATTATTTTTGTCTATAACTGGGGTCGGGTAGAGGAGAAGGAGTGGATTCCACTTTTTATTCTGAATTCAACATTGTCTTACTAAACTGGTTGCCGATTAAGCCTAGACAAATTAGTGCTCTGTTGTTTTACACATAGCTGTTAGGGAGAAAGGTGTTCATGCCTTTCTTGACAATAAACTACATCTGGCAACAAAGCCTCTGATTGGGAGATTGGAGGTTTTGAGGAGCGTGGAACCACCTCTTAATTACTGTTGTTCCTAGGTCCATCCTGACCTGGGTGGTAGCACCTGTTAGGGTCCCAGCTATGGGCAAATAGTAAAACCCTAAACAAAAGCAAAACAGTATGAAAGTATAAAAATACAGTTTTATATAAAAATACCTGCAATACTTTTTTCATATAAAAATACAGTTTTATATAAAAATACCTGCAATACTTTTTTCATATAAAATACAGTTTTATATAAAAATACCTGCAATACTTTTTTCATATTTTCAGTTTTATATAAAAATACAATACTTTTTTCATATAAAATACAGTTTTATATAAAAATACCTGCAATACTTTTTTCATATAAAAATACAGTTTTATATAAAAATACCTGCAATACTTTTTTCATATAAAAATACAGTTTTATATAAAAATACCTGCAATACTTTTTTCATATAAAAATACAGTTTTATATAAAAATACCTGCAATACTTTTTTCATATAAAAATACAGTTTTATATAAAATACCTGCAATACTTTTTTCATATAAAAATACAGTTTTATATAAAAGTACCTGCAATACTTTTTTCATATAAAAAAAAATTACTGATAATACCTCTTTATAGGAAAATGACCAAAAATACATTTTATCTGTATTTGAATTCATACAATTATGTTAAAAATATATTTAGTTGAAGCCACAAGATCGTGTTCAAAATATTTAGATTCTAGCATTAAATAATCCATAGAGCTTAATGCTAAACAAAATCAACCAAGCACATGACATTAATCCAATATAATATCCTAATCAAAGAAATCAACCTGTTTTCCAAAATATAACTTCAACAAAACTACAACATAAAACCCACATATAACAGCCTCTAGTAATTATTTCCAAAACAAACATGTATATGCCCAAGAACTGAGTATTATATTTCATGTTTTCAATTGTGAAAGCAGAATAACATATATCATATTTTTATTACTTCAAAACTCCCAAGAAATTTCAGCATTAAATGACCCATAAGGAGTTGATGTGCCATTATACAGATAAATCAAATAATTGTTCGTAGTTAATTTATATATTTGATTTATCTATTTATTTACAGTTAAAATACCAACATTTCATATTTATATAAAAATAGCAGTAATTCATTTTTATATAAAAGAATTATCAACAATACATACATACACACACACACACACACACACACACACACACATATATATATATATATATATATATATATATATATATATATATGCGTTCAAAATAGGTTCAGTTGAAGCCATAAAATTGTGTTTAAGATATTTAGATTCTAGCATTAAATAACCCATAGAGATCGATGTGCCGGTAAACAAAATCCCGCAAACAACCAACATGAAAGAACACTTTCATGACATTGATCCATTAATATTCTACAATTTCTTAAAGAAATCAAACACTCATATCACTATCTCTAGTAATTATGTCCACACAGACATGTATATGCACAAAAGTTGAGTATCATCTACCATGTATTCAACTGTGAAAGCAGAATAACATATATATTTATTATTTCAAAGCTCCCAAGAAAATTAAATGAACCATAAGTATGTTGATATGCCATTATATATTCAAATCAAATCCTGCCTTTCTTAAAAGCATTCATGCAAGGTGAAAACAAACTGCTTCCATTGGAATTTGAACTCATAATGTTAACTTCATTTCCTGTACTGTTAGGCCATCTCTATCTTTAAATTCATTGGTTATGTATGGGTTCCCACATTATTCTTGGCCTTGTACCATATTCCATTTGATTGGCCACACAGATAATTCCGATTAAACAAGTACTTTGAAAAATTCTGTACTGTTTTCATTTATTTTTGTTTTCTACTCTTTATTTTGAAGGCCACAAGTTTTTTTTTCTGCCCAGAGTTAATGCAACTAGACTCTATGACCCATATAGATGATAATCTGTCACAAAAGTTTTACAGTTTAATGCAAATTCGTCTAATCTTCTGTTTGCTTTCGTCAGACGATCTTAAAACGAACACTTGCTTACCTGATCTCCCTCTTCCCATTTTGTCTGATGGCCGAGGGCCTTAGGAAAGTAGGGGGTCGGGTGGGGCTTTTCAATCTTTTAAAACAGCCGCCAGGTTGCTGCTCTCCCCTTAGTGCTGTGGGTTGTAATTTTGCTAATGTTATTTGCTTTGAATTGGTTTTGCCTTTCAGCCCTTCTCTGACCATTCACCAAACTGACCAGTCCCCCTTGCCTGAATTATACCACTTCGGATTTTCTTCCAATTGGACAAATTGCATTTGTTATCATCCTGCCAGAAAAAGGGAGGAGAAAAAAAAGAAAACAAAAACACAAAAAAACAATGAGATCCGCATCATCGCCACTCCCACTAAAAAAAAAAAAAAAAAAAAAAGGATTTTGCCATTGCAGAGATTAGATTTTCCATTGAGTCGTTCCATCTTAAACGATGACAGTTCCACAAAAATGGCCTTTTCGAGTGTTTTGTAATTGATTTTTTAATATTCTCTTTTATTGCCCGTTTTTTATTTTTTTTTTTTGTTATTAGACTATCCATTCAATACTTTTCTGTTTTGTTCATTTCTGAGTTTTTCTCCTTCTTTTTTTATTTTTCATCTTCCAGTTCATCTAATGTTACTTTGTATTACCCTGAGGCTTGACTTTGTTTGTCAAGTGAGTTGTGGTTAAAAAAAAAAAAAAAAAAAATTCCAAAAAGTAAAAAGCAAAAGCTAAATAAGTTTCTAAAGTCAGAATTCAGAAACAATGGGCCGTAATCTGATAAGGTTTCCCAAAAAGGTAAAAATGGAAGCCAAAGCCACTCAAATCTAAAAACATGTTGAAACCTGACGGACATGTCTTTAGTCACGTTTTGTCTGATCTTCATAATGGCAATTTAATTAGGATTAGAGCATCGTTAAAATGGCAGCTGCAACATAGGTGGTAATGATGTTGATGATTACATCTGCTACCTGCCTTTAGATATAGGGAAGAGAACCTTACTTATACTGACTCACCAAAAAATATTAACTATCACAACTTATCTTACTACCCATGGGCTCATTAATGATATTTCTTTTTCTATATACAATATGTGAAAGCACGTGTGATACCTTGCTCACATCAGTTGTCAACCAGGGGAGGTAACACAGTTTCGGTGGCTAAGGCAGTACTGCCACCTCTGGCACCACCACCAGCAGCTTTTGCCACCAGACAGTGTATTGTTTTTTGTGTAGACATGTTGGATTTTTCAACGTTGTGTCTAATAAAAGCATTTTCTTTGATCCTTAAATTAAAAACAACACGTGCATTAGTGGCCGTTATCAATGACGTATAATGGAAGGTAAACATATGTTTAACGTTGGAAGTAGCATTGTGTTACGAACATGGTTTTAATTAAATTTAATTAAATATTTGGGATCCTGAAAGAAAGTCTTCAGTTAAATACTGGACGAGCTTGTATAAACTTGTGTTTATATGTGCATTAGTAATTTTTTAATTTGTTATTTTATTTACTTAATTTGTTTATCTAAGGATTGGGAATGTTTGTTTATTTTTAATTCTTTTTTTACTCATATTTTTAGTCTTCAATTTTAAAGTAACTAAGTAAAAATTTGTTTTTGTGTCTGCATTTTGAAAGGAGTTATAGTTTATTTAGTCATTTTTGTTGGTCTAGGAAGATAATTATAGCTATTTTTGCATGAAAAAGGCTGTCGACGTCTACTTTTATATTTACATATGCTCTATCCCTGATATTGAGCACTTTGACCCATAAATATAGTCAACCTTAAAACTATATTTTTTATCACGTATAATAATGTAATACCACAAAGATTAAATGCTGAAAACATTGACCTGTGACACTAGGACTGGTTAGTTTTGGAATCGTGGTATTGCACTCAATTTGAAGTTGTGGTTTTGACATGATAAATAACACAAACTATGATTTTTTTTTTTTTTTTTTTTTTCCATATTGACTATATATGCTGACCAATGCTGTGTTATTGGTAAAAGGTCATCATGCTTAAACACAATCTTCAGGCCATGTGTGTTATATTTTGACTTGACTATATATGCTGGTCAGTAGTGCATTATGGGTAGCAGGTCTATTGTACTATCCTGATGGTTATTGAGTGGGTAATAATAATAGTGGGTATGTTATACTTCAAATTATTGTAGAGTCTATTGAGTAGAAATAAGTGTGGATCCGAATACAGTTGTCAACTTTGTACTCGTTATTGATTACATAATTATTTATTGATTATTATTATTACCTTGTGTATATATGTGCTATTGTAGTTAATTTGTTTATTATTTACTTATACGGGTATGTGGCTGAGTGGTTAGAACATTTGCTTTTCAACCATGTGATCCGGGTTCGAATTTCACTGTGGGGAATTTGTCAGGAATTTGACATGCACTAACTTTGGAAAGTTCCTGAACACCATACCATGTGTTGACCCAAGCTATGCGAGTGAAATTGGGTAGATGGAAGTATTTGAGAGCTGTCAATAGTTGTGCTAACACAAAGTCACAAGTCGTCGTGACCGAGGGTTTGTGTGTGCAGGTGTTGATCATTTTATTAAGCTGAAAATGTGGTCAGATGCATTTAAAGTGTTGTTATGCAGAACATAGCTGAGTGGTTTCTGACCATGAGACATGGGTTCGGATGTCATCGTTTGCCAGGAAGGCGACTGCTTGATTTTATCAGTCTGGTAGAAGCGATCCCAGCATGCGGCACCTTTTGGAAAGTGTTTGAAAACCATATCACGGATTGAGCCAAACCTTGTGTGTGAAATTGTGCAGATGAATTTCTTTGGGGAGCCGTCAGTGGTGGTTCTAGCATGAAGTCACAAGTCATCGTGGCTGAGAGTTTGAGCGTGTTGTCTTTATTCAGACTTTGTCATGCTAGATAATGTGCTATCTCCCAGAAACTGAAACTAAGGTCCACTCAGAATAGTTGCAGTGTGGGTATTGAACAAACACAAATGTCCCTGAGCAATGGGGATTGGCTAGACTTGCCTTTTCAGTTATGAATGGCTAGCTATGAGATTATTTATTTATTTATTTATGACCACTGACCAGCATATAGTTGAGGCAAAACACAATACATATGGCCTAAAGATTTAGTTGAAGCATGAAGCTTGACAATTGCTGGTACACATGACACCTTAAAGCACTGTCATTAAAACATAACTGACCAGTACGTCCAAATATGATTTTGACCCTGATTTATTTATTAATAAAATGTTATAATTATCAGTTATTGAATTGTAAACACAGTGCGTACAAATGTTCATTTTTCTAGTGTGAGATTTTATGAGATGGATAGCAGGGGCCTAGAGTGAGAGATCTGTACTCATCAGCACTGTTGAAATGAGAGTGTGTCTAATGTGTGTCTTTTGTGTCATCAAAATGTCATTTGAAGAAGAAATTGATTTATATTTATTTATTGCTTTACACACAGACGTATTTTATTACAAAATCGCCTTCAGTGTCTTTTTTTTTTTTTAATTTCAGGTTATAATGGCTACCAATCGTATTGATATATTAGATCCAGCCTTGTTGCGTCCAGGCCGTATTGACAGAAAAATTGAATTTCCACCTCCAAATGAAGAGGTAAGTCCTCTTATCTAGAAATAATTGTAAAGTTATTGTTACAATTAAACACTTCTTGATATCACTTTGATCTTATTTGCCCTAGATAACAATTTTATGACGCAAACAGCATGAGGAGACCAAGTGGGTATGTGCTCCAAAATATGTGGCGCTGAGGAGACATTTTATCAAGTATCGGTTGAAATGTTATTAAATCGTCCAAACAAAACTGCTCTCTTTTGTCTGAGGGCCCCTGTTTTGTTTTCTAGTATTATGGTTGATGCTAACCTCCAAGCCTCTGGCTAACATTTTCCGTTAACATTGATTGGAAAGATTATTTAGAACCAATAGCTAGGTCTGCTGCTAGGAAAGTTGGTTCACTCTGTTGTGCTAGACAATTTTTCTCACCAGAATCTATCTTGCACATAAGTCTGCCATTTGTCCATGCATTAAACGTAGCTGTCATCTCTGGTTTGGTGCTCCTGCTATGGATTTACAGATTCTTGATAAAATCCAAAAGAAAAATCTGCAATGTTACTGGTCCTGACCTGACATCTCGGCTTCAGTTTCCTATCGCTCTAATGTGGCTTCCCTGTGCCTTTTCTATAGATATTTTCATGCTAGTTGTTTTGATGAGCTTCCCCCTAAGGTAGCGATTTTCCAAGCGTAGCTTGGATGTGGCTCAAGGCCAAAAGTATGGGCCACCCAGTGAGCATCGAGCTCACTACTCAGTTGTAATTGTTCTAGCGAGAAAAGCTTGCTAACCATTACACCACCTCGATGTGCCCAGCTTCCCCCTAATGTATGTAGACTTAATGAATTTAAGCATGGTACTAGAAGCAAGATCTCATCATTTTATAGTTGAAATAGCTAGATGGAACCGTAAGTTCTTTCCTAACACTTTCGTCTCTTGCCCTTGTGGAACTCTTTTCCAATTCTCCACATAGTTCTGATCTTCAAAAATTGAAATGCAATATCCATCGTTATCTTTTGTTTTCTTAATTTCTGTTCATTTATTGTTCTCTTTCCTTAATTATATTTTCTTTTTCTTTCATTCTTCCAGACTCAGTAACCTGTTGTGTCTTAGTGGCTTTATTGCCTTGCTTAGGGTGAAATCATTAAAAAATCCACTAATGTTTAATTGTTTGAAATTTTCAGTGTTTATGGGGGAGGGTGAATAATTCCTATTGTGGATAATACTTAATACAACTATTTGATAAGATTTCAAAAGTAATTGCCCATCTCTTTTTCTAAATAATGCTACATACCTACTTCAAGTTGCATAGTCTGACCCTATTACCTTCCATAAAAAATATGGATTGAGACAGCAAAATATGAGGATTGCTATATCGAGGCTTGATACTTTCATGCGGATGCTATGCATGGTGCCAAACCTGTTCAGAAATATCTAAACTGTTTGCTGTATACAACCATTTTCTAAGATCAAGGGTTAAAATTGTTCTTCAATCCTTGTTGACTAGGACGGCAGAATCACAAACAAAGAATGGTACCAAATAATAGAAAGCAAATCACTAAAATTGTTAGCACTTGTAATTCAATGGAATGATACTGTTATAATCAAGATGTAGACATTCCACACTACTTCAAACAAAAAGGATGGAAGGAAACCAACATCAATAGTAGAAAGAGTGATAACATCTTTTGGACTTGAGAAAAGCTGTGGAGTAGGTGGCCATTGTTAAGTGTCATTGGTGAAATTCTCAACACACAAAATTAACAAACTTTTCAATAAAGAATAAGTAAAAAGAAGAAAAAGATGAAGGCAAAATAATACTAAATCAGCAACAATATATATATATATATATATATATATATATATATATATATATATATATATATATATATAAGAAAGAAAGAGAGAGAGAGAGTATTACATAGAATCCAAAATTACCACATGGGAGTGGGGATGGATCTATATTAACCGATGAAAACTATCTCAGTCTTATTCAACCCAGGTTGTACACGGAGTTGAAAAAGATTTTGAAATAGATCTACCCCCCACCCCCATCTGAGGTAATTTTAGATTTTGTTTTGTAATACTATTTATTGGCTCTGTTATACAGTGTAACCCGGATATAAGAGAGTTGTTGGGACCAGAGGAGAAGTCTCTTATATCCAGGTTTGGTCTATTTTGTTTAGGTAAGTATGGCTCTAATTTGGGACCAGAGAAAATCTCTCTTATATCCAGGTTACACTGTAATAAATAATGGATCAGTTTTAATATTTTATATTACTAGGATCTTCTTGGATTATATACCAATGGATTTATTACCTGTACTATATATATATATATATATATATATATATATATATATTTTAAGACATTTTATGTTTTTATACATTCTTTTATAGATACAAATATTTAAGTAAATGCTCTGTTTATAATAAACAGTATTAATAATATTAATAAACAGAGCATTTACTTAAATATTTGTATCTATAAAAAGAATGTATAAACATAAAAATGTCTTAAAATAATTGTCAGGCTTTGTCTGTTTCATATATATATATATATATATATATATATATATATATATATATATTTGCTGGACTAAACTAGGCAAAGCAACAGTAATAAGGCAAAAAGTTCACATACTTATAGAAAATCTAAGTAGCCTCATCCACATGTAAAAAGAATGATTAAATATAATAATGGAAGCATTAAGAAAAAGAAAAAGGCAACATTCAATGATATCAACTATGAACGCGGTCATAATGTGCTGACAGTGTTTGGGAAATAAAAAAAAACATTCCCATCACTCTAGAAACATAAAAAAAAAAAAAAATCTTGATAATGGCTAACAAAAATGTCAAAAGCTCTTAGATATACAGAATATTTCAACAGTTTTTACACGCTTCATATCTAAAAAGTAAAACACCATAAAAATTAAATAAAAAGCTTAATGGCTGTGCCTTGTTAGACATCTTTAACAAAACTTGTATCTGTGAACACAATTTTTAGACAAAATGGATACAGTCAAGAGATTATAATGTTCCGACTTCAAGATAAGAAAGAAGATAAATATGCCAAATAAGACTGAGATGTAGCCCAATTTTATTGGTTAGGAAGAAATCCCAGCATGCAACAGTAAGATTTGTCTATAAAAATGGGGGGGGATAGGGTTTTTAGCAAAGGGATTGGCACAAACATAAGCTATTTTCCTGAAAAATTGTTTAAAGAGAAAGATTTTATAAATTTCAAGCCAAAGTAGTATAAGTTGCTCAGTTAATGAGTGCCGAATATTTCCTTATAAAGAAATTACTAATATTAGCATTACCATATATAAGGTGCGATGGATAAATTGTCGTTTAAATGGCGCCAAAATGAAAATAACACTGACATCTCATTTTAAAAGATATATTTACCAAAATTACATAAAAAATATCTTGAGATGCTAAAGAGTAAATTCATTCAATAAAATCACCATTGGCTTCAACCACGGCCTCCTGATGATTTTGGAATCTCCTGCAACTCTCCTGGACAGTCACCTTGTTTATGTTGGTGAATGCTGCCATAATCTTTGCCTTTAATTCATCTTTGGTGTTACAAGGAGCTTTGTTGGTCTCTCGCTCAACTGTGACACACGCATAATAATCAAGGGGGTTGCAGTCTGGGGAGTTAGATGACCAGATGGAAGTGGGTGATGTGGTTGCAGAAATTATCTGTTAGCCATGACTGGGTTCTCCTGCTTGTGTGGCATGGTGCAGAGTCCTGTTGCCAGACATAGGGTCTTCTAGCAGCCATCCTCTTGAGCCAGGGCACCACTACCTCCTCATGGCATTTGATGTAGGCCTCTATATTGAGATTGAGACCCTGTGGGAAGATGAATGCAGGTATAACGTCCCCATCACTAGTGATCACCAAACACCTTCGTAATCCGGCCGTGAATACCAAGCAGTACAGCATGCCATTTCCAAATTTCTGGTGGAGATAATTGCGTCATGGTGCTCTTTTTCTCACAGATGGTGCCCAACTGACCCTATTATACTGTGCAGTCAAATGCACATACACGAAATTAAAAATATAAAATGGCAATAATTTACCCATTGTACCCCATATAGAGCACTAAACAATTTATGGAAATGCACTCGATGATAATTAATGTATAAAGGCTAACATTAAAATTATTTGTATGTAATATATTTAATTCTGGTTTATAAAAAGGGGGCTGATTTTGGCATTTGAATGGCCCACCAAGTGTTGAAATGTTATTGAGATGATCCCTGTCCTCAGAAACCTTGTCCAAAGGAGATGAATCAATTGTCAATTGTCATTGCTGTATTTGTGCTTCCAAAACTACTGTCTGTATTTTTCATTACTCTGAATTATTTACATGCAGACCATTGTCCCTATCTTTGTTTTTATTATCACAAGAATTACATTGCAGCAGCAGGAAGAATAAGTTTAAGACTCCAAATTCTAGACTCAGAATTGTCCCATGGGACTGTAGATTAGTGAAGTAAATTGTTGATTCATGAGGTTGGTGGTATAGTAATTAATATGATGTAATTTTTCTTTTTGTAATCATGTTGATATAAAATGAGTCTTGATTTTGTTGGAGGCTGAAAAAGAATTGTCTGGTTTTCACTTGAAACAAACTACAAAGCAACATTTGATTTACCTGATTTTTTTTTTTTTTTTTTTTTTTTTTTTTTTTTGTAGCATCGATTCTATATAATTGAAATCTTGTTGTGTTGTTTTTGTAGGCCCGTCTTGATATTCTCAAGATCCATTCTCGAAAGATGAATTTGACGCGTGGAATTGATCTTCGCAAAATTGCAGAGATGATGCCTGGTGCTTCTGGAGCAGAGGTCAAGGTCAGTAGAAGTTTTCTTAGACAAGTTGAGTATATATAACTGAATATTCCTTGGTCGTGTTTAGGGAGTTGTGACAGAGAATTCCTCTGTAGAAACATGCAGTAGACTGGATCTTTTCTCCTTGAGGAAGGAGGTAAAAAGCATTACTGGCAAGGATCTTCCCACTTAACTTTTTCTTTTATTTAATTTTTTTTTTTAAGTCATTTAACTTAAAAAATGAATATTGAAATGTTAAAATTTAAAAAAAAAGAAATTTGGGTTTCACTGAAATGAAAATTAGTTTAGGACCTTATTAGGGTTTTTATTATCTCAACATTTACACTGCAGCAGCAGGCAGAGTAAGTTTAGGATTCCAAGTTCTAGACTCATAATTGTCCCATGGGACAGTAGCCTAGTGGGCTAAACTGTTCATTGATGTGAAATATTGTTCTCATCTTGGCTGATATAGATGTTATTATAGACACAAGGTTTCGACAAAGTACCTTCTGGTCTTCGTCATATTTTTTGTTTTTAAAGTCATGGTGAAAGTGTAGTTTATTGTGGTTTATATGGAAACTATGTTGAGCGGAACTTAGTTTCAGTTTCTGGGAGATAACGCATTATTTAGCATGATCAACAGTCTGAATAAGGTCAACACGTTCAAACTCTCGGTCATGATGACTTGCGACTTCATGCTAGCACAACCATTGACGGCTCCCCAAAGAGATCCATCTGCACAATTTCACTCACAAGGTTTGACTCAATCCGTGATATGGTTTTCCAAAGTTGCCGCACACTGGGATCGCTTCTACCTGACTGATAAAATCAAGCAGTCACCTTCCCGACAAACGGTGACATCCAATCTCAGAGCCTCATGGTTAGAAACCACTCAGCCATGAATTTAAATTTGATCATTCTGCCTGGTACCAGGAGATAGACTACGGTCTTGTCTTTGCTCTCATTACAAGTCCGATGCAATTATTTCTTTTTCAGGGTGTCTGTACAGAGGCTGGAATGTATGCTCTCAGGGAGAGACGAGTTCATGTGACACAGGAAGATTTTGAACTTGCTGTAGCAAAGGTAAGACGACTTTGTCTTTTTGATGGAATTTCTTTATTTTGTTCCAAGACTTGTGCACAAAGATTGGTCCTGATCTGGCAGTCACTTTCGCACCACCGTAAAGTTGCCTCCCTCTGCCTTTTCTATAAATACTTTCATGGCAACTGTTTGGATAAGCTCTTTGCTATGGTACCAAGAGTTTTTGAATTTAAGTACAGTCCTAAACTGGTGTCGAGATCTCATCAATTTACAGTAGAGCTAGCTAGATGCAACATCTATGCTAACAGTTTCTTTTCTTGCACTCTCGCTTGTGGAACTCCTCCTAGCTCTGTGCTTTCCAGCCAAATTTAATCTACAAAAATTTAAGTGCAATGTCGATCGCTATCTACTGTTCTGATTGGTCTTTTCTCTTTCTTCTGATTACTACTAATGTTTCTATTCCTAATTCTTCGACACCCTCTAACCCTCCATGTACTAGTGGTTGTACTGCTTTGCTTGGGGGCAAGACTGATTTTAAAAAAAAAAAAAAAAAAGGATTGGATGCAATGCACCACCCATCACATAAATGTGCACAGGTAGAAATGTAATATTATTTTACAGATAGTTCTTGAAAGCTAATTCAATTTCTAAAAACCTGTTCCCATATGATCACTGAAGCAGTGTGTCGAAGCTGGTCAGTATCTAGATAGGTGACCACTTGGGAATACCATGTGTGCTATAAGCTTGGATATGTGGGTCATGTAAATGAATAATGGCTCAGAAATGTTGAGAGCTGAGTTCGAATTCCAGTCGAATTCGTTATATTCACTTATGGGTAAATACCCCAGAAGAAAGATATACACCCACCTCTTCTCCTCCCAGCTCTGGGTTAATTAGTAAAACTTGTATCACTAAATCATTATTATCTCAGAAAAAAAAAAAAAAAAAGAATTCTTAGAAACTAAAAATATTTTCTGGTTTTGAATAACCTGCAAAGTGTTGATAAGCCATAGAAAACGAATCCTTCAATCAATAAAATACTGAATAGATTTACATGCTTGTCTTTTAGATTTATTTACATGCTCTGGAATATAAATGGATAGAAACTGCTATGGTCACAAAGAGGAGGATCAGTTTATGTATTGATTGTAATATAGAATTGATCCCTCACTTTATGTCCACATAATTTCTTGTTTATCAAACTCTGATTAGGTATGAATCCACAACTTCTCCCTCAACTATGGGTTAAGTAGTAAGACATTACTAAATCATCATTATCTTAAAAAAAAAATTCTTACAATCTAATAATATTTTTTGGCTTTAAATAACCTGCAAAAGATTGATAAGCCATAGAAAACAAATCAATCAATGCAAGAAATAATTTAACTTCAGCAATGTTTTCAGATGAAGCATTATTAAGTTTTATGTTGGGACTAATAATTTTCTTTTTATTTAATCCAGTCCCAGACAAGTTATTTTGGAACTGTGGAAGGGTTGCCAGACAAAAAAGTCTGGCAAGTTTAAGAATGCCACAGAGTCTTGAATAATGGCTTAAATTGTTTGGAACTTTGTAGGGTTATTTTTTGTCTTTTTATCTTGAAACTTTTGTTTTAATGTTTTATTTGCATAAAACAACAGTAAAAAAACAAAATCATGTATAGTTACCAGTATGAAAAGTGGAATTGGCAAACCAAGCTCACATTCCAGCTGAGTATATTGCATTCAATTTTGCATAAATACCCTTGGGAAAGGTATGAATCCATCTCTTCTCTCCTCCCACCTATGGGTTAAATAGCAAGGCTAGGTTCTCTAGTCTTGGTTAGAAGAAGTAATCTGAAAGAAGGGCAAGTTGTCTTTTGTTATAGCTGAGGTGAGAAGTAGACTCATAAATTTTCAAGGGTGTTTGTCTGAGTGAATGCAAAAAAAAAACTTGAATTTGAACTCAGCTTGCTGGTACCACTTCCCATGCCTACAACTGCTCTGCTATGCACACATTCATTCATTATATATATATATATATATATAAAACCCTATTCCAGAAACGGTTATTTTGGAGTTGTAAAAGGCTGGGTGGTGTGGCTTTTTAGTCGTCAACTTTGAAAATGCCAGAGAGCATAAGTAAGTTTGAAAAGTAAATAAGTCAACTGTTAAAATGCAAATGAATTTATGCTGAATATACTTTAAAATATTTGTGTACTCGAGTCATAAAGTACGTGTATTGGAAGACAAAGTAAGAGTCTATGTAATTTTTTAAAATTACAAAATTTCTCATGTCAGCAAAATATATGCTGATGTCAAAAATTATGGAGAATTCACTATATTCACAAGTACTTTTAAAACTTTGTCATGAAAAAATTTTTTTGAAGTCTATTTTTAGTAACATATATGTCAACTGCGGGCAATGTAAGTTTCATAAAGATGCTTATATTTGTCAACAGTGAGCAATGTAATTTTCATGTTATATGAAAATATGTTATTTAAATATTTATCAAATAATGTTATTAAATATGTTATTTCATGTACATAAATGTTAACAACCTGACGAATAAATAACTGCATTCAAAATATATTTTACTGAAGCCATAAAATTGTGTTCAAAATATTTAGGTTTCGGCATTAAATAACTCATAGAAGTGTTGATATGCCACTAAGCAAACTCAGCTAAGCAAATTGACACGAGAATTCTTTCGTAACATTAATCCATATAATATCTTACAATTCCTTAAAGAAATCAAACTCTGTTCCAAAATATAACTTGCAGCATAAAACATCCATATTACCGCCCCCCCCAATAACATCTATATATTATCTACCATGTAGTCAATTGTGATTTCAGAATAACATATAACACATTTTTATTAATTTAAGGCCATCCCAAAAATTAAATTTCAGCATTAAATGACCCATAAGGATGTTGATATGCTGTTAAGAATGAATTATTAAAATTTAATTATTTTTCTTTTCTTTTCTCAATTGTTGTTTATTGTTATCATTTTTTTTTGTTTTTTCTATTTTCAGGTGATGCAAAAAGATTCCGAGAAGAATATTTCCATCAAAAAACAGTGGAAGTAAGAAGTAGATTTTTAGCTTCAATTCTGAAAATTTTTGCAGTTGAACCTTCAAGGGGGGGGAGAAAGAAAAACAAACAAACAAATAAAAACAAAGAAAGAAAATAAAATTCATTCATCCAAACTTTTTTTTTTTCCTCTTTAATTGTTCAGTGTCATCACCCAACTGTCTGGAATCTGTATTCTCTTTCTCCAAACTTTTTTTTTTTTTTTTCCTTCATTGTTACATTAAAATTAATTGATTAAAAAAAAAAAAAAAAAAAAAAAAAAAAAAAAAATTCCTTTGTTTATTTGTTATAAATTTCAATCAAATGATATTCTAAAAATATTTAGCTCATTTTTGTATGGATGACCATTTGGGCAATAATTCATTTGTCTCATATTAAACAGTACACATGCAGCAGGGTCCTCATGGTTTGTGTGAGATTGGCAGAGGAGGAGAATGGGGGCTTTCCTATCAGACCAGATACTGAGGTTGTAGTATCTGTTTCATGCTGGAGGCCTCCTCCTCCCTTGTGCCCCTCCCCCACCTGTTGCATGACATCTTTTATGTAGCAGTGTATGACCAGCTATGGCCAGCTTAGACCAATGGAAACACTTGGGTGTCCATGTTAAAAAAAACGGCCTTGTTTTTCAACCTGACTCAGTGGTGGGGGTTTAAGGTAATTCTCAGGCCCTCTCTCAGCTTTTCACCAACTGGACAATGAAACTCCCTGTTGCATCATGTTTTGCGCACAAAAGCTGGGAAAGGCCCGTTGCATGTTCACAAGAAAATGAAGGGTGAAACTAAAAAAATGAGGAATCCAATATATTTCCTTGTTTATTCAGGGGTTTACTTGCTTGGTCTGGTGGGGTGTTATAGATAGGTGTCACTTGGAGACAACTTCTAATATCTCCAACTAAGAGGTCAATTTTTCTTGTCAACCAGCGAGAAATCTTTCTTTTTACCAACTCTCTATACATCATAACGTGTGGCTGGCAATCCTCTCTTGACAGACAGCGTACACAGGCTGCCGAGAGTGAGTCTATCCCAAGCCAAGGGCAGTTCAGAACTCACCTCAATCCCATCTGTGCCCATTATTACAGAAAATGCTCAATATCCGGTTTGTTGTCACTTGACCCCAAAAGTTTTCATTATAATATTCGCTTATTTACATTGTTTAGACTGTTGTCCTCATCTTTATTGCCATATTCATGATGTTTTGGCCATTCTACACTCCAGCCTTCTTCTGTTGATTGGAATTTCAAATTAAGTTTTTGGTCTTTAAGAAATCACCATATATGCCAGGCCTCAAAAATCTCGTAAGCCGGCCAAGCATAGACATGAATACAATATGGAAACAATACAGAGAGCTAGAAAAAAACAACAGAATTGCAATATAAGCTCCAAAAAACCATGGAGAGTTGAATTAAAGGGAGATAAGATACCTGGAAGAGGCATGGCACGTGGAACTAGGACAATATACCCTGGTGGATGAAATAAAGGGTTTAGTTCAAAATTGCAATAGAAGGCTGGAGCATACAACAGCCGGAACACAGTGGCAATAAACATGAGGATAACAATTTGAACAATAATTACAATACCTCATCTCAGAAATATGGACAGATTATGTTCACTTTTGGTCAAGTGCTGAAGGCTCGCATCTCACAGACCTTATTGTTGGTCATAAAACATAAACACTTAAGACTAAGATAACGTGTTTAAATGCAGTGGAAATATCTAACAAATTTTAACACCTCCAAAGCAAAACTACTTTCATTTAATCACCACAGAGAATCTTTTCTGCCAGCTATCAGCATGGCTGATGCTAACCTCCGGGAGAGCAACACTTTGTGGCTTTTTGGGTTTATGTTTTCCACTGAAGTGTAGTAATTGAATCAATTGCTTGGTCTACTGCTTGGAAAGGTGGTTTGGTGTCATGCAGAATTCTTGTCAGAATCCATTTTGCACATTTATAAATCTATCATTTGTTCGTTGAATACCATTGACATATATGGCCCTGTGCTCCTACCATACAGTGTGTGTCCCTAAAGTCTAGATACCCTCGGCAAAAATGTGTATTTTCAAGGAATTAAATTTTCAACATTTTATTGGCAAATTAACAAATAACATCTTCAATATGATTTCCATCATTTGTCATGCAAAGGTTGATGCAGTTTGCAAGATTCACGTAAACTTGATGCAATAACTTTTTAATTTTAGCACATTCACTTTTTATGCGTTCAATCAAGTGTGTTGCATCTGTGATTTTCACTGAGTACACCTTCTCCTTTAGCATACCCCAGAAAAAGAAGTCAATTCTTTCGATAAACCCAGGTTTAATCTGTGGAAGTAAAAAAAAAAAATATATATTTATTAAAGACATTTTTATGTTTAACGTTCTTTTTATAGATACAAGTATTTAAGTAAATGCTCTGTTTATAATAAACAGTATTAAACAACATTGACCGGCCTGAATGTCCGAGAAATTTTCATAGAAAATATTCGTCCTTTGACAGGATCCGAACCTGCATCCTATACGGAACCGTCATTTACGCTGACGTGCCTTACCGATCGGCCACAAAGAAGCGTTCGGTAGACAAGGTCGAATTTACTGCTTATAAACTTCAATCTTCCATGAAGATTTATAAGCAGTAAATTCGACCTTTATTATAAACAGAGCATTTACTTAAATACTTGTATCTATAAAAAGAACGTTAAACATAAAAATGTCTTTAATAAATAAATTGTCGGACTTTGTCCATTTCTTAATATATATATATATATATACTTAATGAGATTTAGAGACAACCTGTATATCTTGTGATACTTGGAAAAAATTCAAAAGATCTGTTATCTAATAGATCTTGACCTGGCATCTCAACTTCAGTCACTTTTTAACCAATGTAATGTGGTTTCCTTTTTTCTACAAATATTTTCATGACTATTGTGCTAATAGTTCTCTTTCACTGCCTGTATTACCCTGCGTTTTAGTGACTTTGTCATCTTGCTTAGGGTGAAATGATTAAAACAGTAAGCTTACATATATATATATATATATATATATATATATATATATATATATGAAATCTCAAATATTCTTAAATGCCTATAATTGGTAACAGAAGCCATTGGTTTATACCAACGGCTTCCCATACTTAATACTTCTTGTTTTCACTCTCGCGTGGTCATGTGTGACCTCACGAGCTACGGTGCGATTTTCGCTTCCAGCGTCTTATATGCACGAGTTTATCGTTGCTTGGAAATCATCCATGTAAACAGAAACAGACTATCATCACTGTTTTGTCCGTGTATTGTTTAATATATTGTAATGTAATTGTCATCTTTGATAATGGCTTATGTAAGCCGAAAGCTTAGATTGGATTAAAAAAATATGTATCAATATTGTGATTTTCTTTCTTCGTTTAATGATAATGTTATTAAGCTTATCAGACGATATGAAAAGAATTTACATAAAATAAATAGAGAACACTTGTCTATATTGTTTAATGAAACATGCATCAAATATATATATATATATATATATATATATATATATATATATATATATATATATATATATAATAAAGTCACTATACAGTTACTTACAATAACAATTAAGACAACTCAATTAATCAACAGCTAAAGTCAGTTGGCGAGACATGATTAGAAATGACACTCCTCAACAAGTCGATCGGTATAACATTAATTTAGATAATAGATTACATAAAGTTCTCTCATTGGTCAGATTAACTTCCGATAAGCTACAATTATAAACCAATTACATATTTTACAATATATTGGCTTTGCCAAAGAAATTTACTTAAAAACTTTATTCTTAGAAAGCTAAAGGCACTATGCACATGCAACCCATGTCTAAGACAAGACTTTGATATTTTAAACTGGGTACTAAATTCCTTAATCTTTAAGGAGTGGATAATCCTTTCAAGCTACTATCATTCATGGCTGACTAACTTTATGGAAGCTACTGGTGACCATCGATATAACTGATAACCTTTCTGAAGGTGAATTATTTTGTCTATTTATAAACGACGAAATAATAATTTTATTCGTCAACAAGACAAAGAAATATGATAGGTGAAATATAGATATGTAGTGGACCGTGTCGGCGATGTTGAGAATAGAAGTATATGTTTATGTATTGTAGAAGGAGAAGAATACATGTGGGTAGAAATTTCTTGCTAGTCGGTCTAACTTCATGAGAAAGTTGGACTTTAATTAAGTCCAAAGAAGGCAAAGAAAAACAGACACAAGACCGATAAATATATGTAAACAAATATATGTATTAATAACAAGAAAGGTTACAAGTTACATGGACAGAGTGTGTGGTGAATATTATATGTGTGTGTTGTGTTGTGGTGAGTGTTCGTACGTACGTGTATTGTTCTTAGCGTGTTCCCAGCATTTGGGAAACGCTGTATCTGTGAGCGTTCACATCTGCGAGGTGGTAAGGCTGAAAGCCTGAGGCAAAAAGAGGTCGAGGAGAAGGGTCAGCGAGTATTTATAGCCAGGGGAGAGAGACCCCTGGTGAAATGAGCTAAGGAGCTAACTCCGACAGACGCAACAAATGCTGGTGTCTTCTTGTATGTAAACACATGAGGAAGCATGTCACTTTTTGACAAAATGAATGCCTTGGCGATTTCGCTCTTTATCGCACCCTCAGAACTCCACAAGGAGTAACAAAAATTAAAGTACATTGATTTATTTATTGATTTTTAATACATTTGTTTTTTTTTTATTTCGCGTTCATTTTTTTTTTTAGTTTTACATGTCAAAACATGCATGCAAAACGTAATTCATTACAGCAAAATATTACTCATTCGTTCTTTTATTAGTTTACAAAAAATAAAATATATACGCACGATAGAAAGAAAGTTATAACAATTTTAAAACAGGAGGTGTTCATGTTTTGCACCCTCAAAAAAAATCTAGGGGTAAAAATTCTAGAAAGAATTTAGCGTGTAAAAGGTTAAACAATCTGCAGTATTTAAAGAATGAG